CCTGTAGGAGGAGCTCACCACTGTTGCAGCTGTACCCTTGCTAATGCAGAAGCTGCCTAAATGGCTACATCAGACCCTGGCTTTAGCATCTCAGCAGCCACATTTCCATTTAATTACACCTGTATCTCTTTAGAAAGTCCTTATATTAACAACTTGGCTATTTGCTCGTGGCAGACATCTCCTACCCTCTCCACAAATGAAAGACAAGGGCATTTTTTTCAAATACTTAAAACAGACAAACTGATCTCAAAGCCTGCCAGACCCTGTTTGGAAGAAGTGCGTGTTAATGGCACATCTATACATTCAGTAAAATCAGCTTCAGGAATTCAGGCTTCCCAGGCATTTGGAGCCATCTCCCAAGCCAGAGACACACTGCTGAGTGTTCCCGCTGTGGGGACACTCGCTGGCTCCTGCTGCTTTCCTGGCAGCAGCGCCCATGGGGCTGAACCCCTGCCCCAGGCACCAGCAGGAGCTGCTGGAGGGGCTGCCCTTGATGGTCTGGCAGGGTTGGAATGCCCCCAGAAGCCAGGGTGAGGCTGGTGAAGGCCAGCATGTTTTGGAGGCCTGGATAGTGTGGGAGAGGCAGGTTCAATGGGAAGATCTTCTGTCCAGCCCAACTCCTTCAGTGCCTTTGCTTTTCCTTTTCTTTCCAGGAAATTCCCTTTCATCTCAATACAGCACTTCTCGTCTATTGATTTTTTTTAAGCCCATTCTGCTCTTACCTTGGGTGATTAACCACAGGCATCTTGGTTTGGATGAAGGCAGTAATTCTCTCCGTAATCCTCATTACTTTTCATAAATAATTCCATGGATCGTGCTGAGGTGTCTCCACACTGTACATCTCCTGGCCTGGGTGGCTGTAGCTGCACTGTGATGTGGGACGGGGGGAAAGGGTCACCACTTCCCAGTGTCACTGACTGCTGGCACTGTGCAGCTCCCTGCCTTTCCTGAGCCTGCTGCGCTGTGCACTGCGCCACGCCAGACCACCCATCTTCAGCCTTTCTTGGCTTTTCAGCACCTGTATCCCAGCAGTATCACCCTTTGGGCAGGGCTGCCGGTGTTGGACAGGCTGCTGCCTCAGTAAGATGTTGTGGGATGCACACAAGCTGTGGTGTAACTTGCTGTTTTCCTTCTCCCAGATTTCATCTTCCAGCAGGAGCTATTTGCTGCGAGAGACACAGGTGAGTGAGCGGACCACAGCACGGGTTTTGTGGGTTAGGCCCCTCTTGGGGAGTGCTTCGGGGAGGTCAGTGGAACATGCCTGGGGCATGCCATGAACCTGCTCTTGTCCCTGGGGCAGGGCACTGGCTCCATGCTGTGCTCTTCTGGCAGTGAGTGCTGTATGTGCATCCCCCCTGGGCTCTGCAGTCCTCTTTCCCAGCCCTTTGGCCCCCTGTGTGCCTCTCTGGGCCACACGAGGTTGTGCTCCTGCTGGGATAGGGAAAGAAGGGACCATCACACCCTGGGCATGGGACTGTCGTAGCCCCATTCCGGCTTTTCTCCCTGCAACTCATTTGCCTCCTCTACTGCTAAATAGGGATACAAAAAGATGGCTCCAATGGACTCCTGGAGTGGCAGAGAGAAGTCCAGGAATTCCGGGATATTTTTGAGCACTAGCCAACAGCAGTGCTGGCCTGGGAAACTGAGGAAATGCTGCCAGGACAAGCTGGCAGGTCTGATATTCTCCCTTTTTGTCCTTGCTCTCCTTGCAGATCCCATGCACAACCTCTCTGCTCAGCCCTGGCAGGCAAAGATGGCCAACCTGACCTATGACAACTTCACCCTGGGCAACCGCTCTGAGGTGGCCGTGCAGCCTCCCACCAACTACAAGACAGTGGAGCTGGTTTTCATCGCCACTGTCACCGGCTCGCTCAGCCTCGTCACCGTGGTGGGGAACATCCTGGTGATGCTCTCCATCAAGGTGAACCGCCAGCTCCAGACTGTCAACAACTATTTCCTCTTCAGCCTGGCCTGCGCAGACCTCATCATCGGGGTCTTCTCCATGAACCTCTACACGGTCTACATCATCAAAGGCTACTGGCCACTGGGGGCTGTGGTGTGTGACCTGTGGCTGGCTCTGGACTATGTGGTGAGCAATGCCTCTGTCATGAACCTGCTCATCATCAGCTTTGACCGGTACTTCTGTGTGACCAAGCCCCTGACGTACCCGGCCAGGAGGACCACCAAGATGGCAGGGCTAATGATCGCGGCCGCATGGATATTGTCCTTCATTCTCTGGGCCCCTGCCATCTTGTTCTGGCAGTTCATTGTGGGCAAGAGGACAGTCCCCGAGAGGGAATGTTACATCCAGTTCCTCTCCAACCCAGCGGTGACATTTGGCACAGCCATTGCTGCTTTTTACCTGCCCGTGGTCATCATGACAGTGCTGTACATCCACATCTCCCTGGCCAGCAGAAGCAGGGTAAGGAGGCACAAGCCTGAGAGCAGGAAAGACAGGAAAACCAAGTCCCTCAGATTCCTCAAGGGCCCCGTGGTCAAACAGAACAACAATAATTCTCCCAAGAGGGCTGTGGAGGTGAAGGAGGAGGTGAGGAATGGGAAAGTGGATGACCAGCCATCTGCCCAGACAGAGGCCACTGGCCATCAGGAGGAGAAGGAGACATCCAATGAGTCCAGCACCGTCAGCATGACACAGACCACAAAAGACAAGCCCACAGCAGAAGTCTTGCCAGCAGGGCAAGGACAGAGTCCAGCCAACCCCCGAGTGAACCCAACTTCCAAGTGGTCCAAGATTAAGATTGTCACCAAGCAGACTGGGACTGAATGCGTCACCGCCATTGAGATCGTCCCAGCTAAGTCAGGTGCCTCTAACCACAACTCCCTGGCCAACAGCCGCCCAGTCAATGTTGCCAGGAAGTTTGCCAGCATCGCCAGGAGCCAAGTGCGGAAGAAGCGGCAGATGGCTGCCCGAGAGAAGAAAGTCACCCGAACCATATTTGCCATCCTGCTGGCCTTCATACTCACATGGACGCCCTACAACGTGATGGTCCTCATTAACACCTTCTGTGAGACCTGCGTGCCCGAAACAGTGTGGTCCATTGGCTACTGGCTCTGCTATGTCAACAGCACCATCAACCCAGCCTGCTATGCCCTCTGCAATGCCACTTTCAAGAAAACCTTCAAGCACCTTCTCATGTGCCAGTACAGGAACATTGGCACAGCCAGATAAACTGCGACTCAGGGACCACTTCAGTAACCTTATGGAAACCCTTCCCTTTGCCTCCTTTGCCAGCGGGGGTTCTTCTGCTCCCCGCTCACAACAGTGCAGACTGTGCAGTGATTGCAGAGGATGCCCTTCAGCCAACGCTGACAAAAATCCAAGGCATTTCTGAGCTGCAGGTCCTTCCAGTCGCCCTGGGCCTGGGGACTAGCTCAGGGAGTCACTGGGAAAGCCAGAGGCAAGAGGAGATGTGGTCACCAGGAGCCCTTCCTAGCTCCATGCTCTTGAGATTGGCCAAATGGCATCAGTGTTTCTCCTAAGACTGGATGTACCTTTTTCCCCAGCTGACCATCTCCAAGGCATCAGAGCTTGTCTGCATGCAGATGGGCTAATGCTGGATGCTTTCCATTGGCTTATAAAGTGTTTATTACCCAAGAAATTAAAAGAAACCAGGGTCAAACATTTACTTGCATCTTGGACCAGGCTGGCTCTGGGAGGTTAATGGGGAGTCCTGCTGGCCCAGCCAGGCCCCCTATGACAGCAGTCAAGACTGGACCTTAACAGATGTGGCAAGATGCTTCCTTTCCCTTGAGAGTGCCATCAGACATCCTCACCCAGGGTCCTGGGGCAGAATATTTCCCTGTGCTCTGGCTCTGCTCTCCCCTTCATGTCCTTTCTGCCTTCAGACAGCAATCTGCTGGAAAGACAGACAGATTAACCAAGCATTTCACTCCTGGGTGCGGAGTGTGGGACCCAGTTGCCTCTGACAACGATGGCAACTAAAACTGCAAAGAAAAACCCTGGTGTGGTGCAGGCCTTCACTCCACAGCCCTGGGGGAATGGAGCCCCTGAGTGGTGGGCAGCAGTGACTGTGAAAATAACTGTCCTTGGGAGGGACAGGGGGGACCTGGGGGTCTCAGAAGAGGGTGGGAAGAGGGTCTGCAGTGTGGCCAAGGTGCCCCGTGTCTCATCTGGGCCATAGGCAGGTCCCTGCTCTCCCCACAGTGGTGTGGGAGGCCTGATGCATGGCTCTGGAGGCAGGAGAGGATGACCATGGCCTCCAGCCCCGCTCCTGCCCTGAGCGCAGGGAGGCCGAAGGAGCTGGTGGCTGAGCTTTGTGAAGGGATGTCACGCTGTCGTGGGCGTTGTGGCTGAGCCCTCAGCATGCGGGCTTCAGCCAGCGCCCCCAGCCTCCTCCCAGCCCAGCCCTGGGCTGCTCCCCAGCTTCTCCCACAGCCAGGTGCCAGCCTGGGTGGCTGCAGCCAGGTGCAGGCAAGGGATGGGATGGGGCCACTCTAGCACTGAAAAACTCTGTGTCCGTATGTCCTTCCTGTCCTCATGCCAGGGTGCAACCTGCCGAAAGGCTGCTCCAACCCAGATGGGAGCCCCGCCATCACTGCCTTTAGGGGTACCCAAAATGCCTGGTGGGTTTCTGGGTATTTTTAAATGGTTACAACTGCAGCCCAACACACCCAAGACAAATAAAGACCTTGGACTAGGAAACTAATGTCCATGGTGTGAGGAATGAGTGAGCCATCACCCAGGTGGCTCCTTCCCTGCTTCCCAGTGTCACCCACTGGTGACATTTCCTGAAGCCCATTCCTTCTGCCAAGAGTAAGGGAGAGCAACCTGAAGCGTTGCTGCAAAGAGGCTGTGAGGTCTGGTGCTTTGTCCAGGACCACGTGCATGTGGCACCCAGGCCACCACCGCCAGCTGCATGGTAACGTGACTGCTGGTGCCAGTGGGGTCAGCAAAACTGGGGTTTGCTGGGGTTTCCAGCACAGCAGCACCTTGTGGAGACAACAGGGGAGTTCTGATACTTTCTTAAAAAAGATTTTTATTGGAAAAGAAAAAGAAAAATTCCAAAAGGAGAGCTCCCACCCAGCACTGGTGTTGGCATGGCAAAGGCAGAGGGGCTGCAGCCCCAGCATGGACACACATGGTTAGAAGTGACAGAGAGGAGACACAGTTGCTTCTCAGGGTGATGGTTGTGTTTTCCTTAACTGCTGCAGGTAAGTCATGCTCCAGCCAAAGGGGTGCTGGAATAAACCCCCTGAGGTGAGAGCAGTCCTTGAGTGAGAAGCTTCAGCGATGGGGTTACTCGGGCATTCAACAGCCAGCCCTTCCCTCCAGCACTGGTACCTGGTGGAGGAGCAAGGAGGCTCCTGAGCTTGCAAAAGTATGTGCTAAAGGCAACTCATTTGTGCTGGAGGGTGGAAAAATGTGTGTTCCATCCCAGGTCTCTGAGCACATCGCAGTGAACCCCAGCACCAGCTCAGAGGAGGTGAGCAGAATGCACTGGTTGTGCCCAGGGGGCAGCAAGGAAGGAGGCAGCCTGTCCTGCAGGGTGGGTGGGTTTGCTCTCTACAACACTAATGATTAAAACAAGGCATCTCAGTGAAAGAGGAGGTCATGGAAAGGAGTAAGGAGAGGAGGAGGAAGACTGTAGTGTGGGCCAGCTGCAGTTGGACATCCAGTCCTGTAGGCACCGTGTTGAGGGGCCGATGAGGACGCTGGTTTCCTGCTCTAGTCCTTCCCCTTGCCCTTCTTTGCTGCATTCAAGAAGCACAGGAGACAAGAGTTAGTGCATGTGCTGGCAGCTCAGGATGCCCCAGGCACTGCTGTGGAGAAACATAGCCAGCGTGGCTGGCTGAGCACGGCGCAGTGACTGCATCCCTGCAGGCAGCCTTCTGCCGTGCCAAACCACGTTTTGCACCACTCCTAGTGAGGAGAGCGGGGAATCCCCATCCCAGGAAAGATGGCAGTGGTTTGTGGGGGACCAGGGTTTTCCTAGTAGCACCTGCATCCTACCTAACCAGCAGCTGGACTTTGCAGTGCAAAGAAAAGAGCATCCTATGAAATCCCCTACACCACCAGCAAAGCCAAGCCCAACAGGCCAAGGTAGCTCTGAAAAACCCCTGGCCAGGGTTGCAACAGGACCCTTCTGGGGACACGAGTGGTGGGAACTGACCTTTGGACTTTGACTTGATCTTGGAGGAGCAGGGCTTGGTCACATAGACAGTCTCCTCACACTGGGCATTGTACAGGGCTTTCTTCAGGATGCCAGAGCGAGTCTTCAGGCCTGTCTGAGCACTACAGCCTCCCCAGCTCTCAAACTTGTACTTGCAGTCGGCTGGATGAGAGGGGAGAGGCATCAGAACTAGCCAGGACCTGGTGGGACATTAGCCCCGGTCACCCAGCACAGGGTGATCCCCAACCACCCCACCTCCATGTACCCACCTCCAAATTTCTTCTTCCAGTTGCAGGGGATCTTGCACTTGAGCTTCTTACTCTCATCTTTGCAAGTTCCCTCGCGGTAGCCCAGGCCGCAGTCCTTACTGTTGGGAACACAGGGTCCCCAGCGCCAGTCCTCACACTTGGAGCCATCCTTCTTTGCCTTTTCTGTGCGGAAAAGTGGAGTGGGTGCTCTCTGCAGGGACAGGGGAGCATACCCCCCCTTGCCCCCTGCCCCACTGGCCCCCTGCCCCAGGCTGCCCCTCACCTTTCTTGTTCTTGCCAGCCTCGGCGGTGGCAGCCACCAGGATCAGCGCCAGGAGGAGGAAGAGACTCCGAACCTGCATCCTGCCTGTGGAGGAAGGAGAGAGCTCCGTGGGTGGGAGGTTGGGGTGCAGTGTGGTGTTGAGGAGGGGCACGGTGAGCTGTGGGCACCTGTGTGGGAGTAAGACAGGAGCAGCTGCCTCCATGGTACACTCTCACCTGCATGTGTGTGTATGTACACCTCCGTGCCCTGCTTGTTGCTGCCCAGCAGAACATGTTCACTAATGGCAGCAGGAAGGTTAATTGTGTACCTCAACAGCTGCCTCCCACCAGGGAGCTGCAGGGCTGAGAGATTGTTCCCACCTCTGCAGTCCCCACATTGCCCTCTACATGATCGAAGTGCTCTCCATGGGGAACTCCACAGCCCACACAACATCCTACAGTTGCCACCCCTTACCCCCACATTTCTCTGTGGATCCTTTATCCATGACCCAGCAGGCTGCTGCCCCATACCAAAGAGCCTTGGGATCAGGGAACACAGCTCCCAGAGTACCTTACTCCAGTTCCAGAGGATGCCAGGGAGAAGGAAAAAAGTCCAGCAAAACAAACCTGCTTTCATGGGAGGTCTGAAAGTTATATCAGTGGATTAAACACCAAAAAAAGCATCCACAATGTGGGAGCTCATTGGAGGGATGGAGCCTGCTGCCCACGCCCCCCATGCACGCAGGGGTGTGCAGGTGTGCACACACCTGGGGCAGGTTGGGGACAAGGGTGCACACACATAAGGGTTCAGCTCTGGGGATTGAGCCCTGTCCCCTGCCCCGGTGGCCTTGGACCATGTGACTGCTCCTCTCTGGCTGCCACCACGAGACTCTGTGGGATGCTGCTGCCAACACTGGGGTCCCAGATCCTGCTCTCAGTGGGAAGAGGAGCGCAGGCATGCAGAGCCAGCATTTGAAATCTGGAGTCCCCATCCCCGTTCCCCCAAAGCCTTTTAAGATGCCACCCATATCTGCGTGGCAGCAGCCATCCAGAAAATACATGGCACCTGTCCTGGACCTGTGATGGGCTTTGCAGAATTGGGCTGTAGAGGACAGGATGAACCACAGGCCCCAGGGGACACCAACGAAGGGAAGAGCCCGGGGTCAGCGTTTGCTCCCTCCCCTGGGCTCCCGGGCAGCATGCCAGAGAGCAGCATCCCACATTATCCAGGCTCCAGTGCACTCACCTTTCATGCATCCGCCGCCAAGCTGCCAGCTTCGCTCTGCATTGAACTGTCACAGGGAATTACACAGCCCGGCTGGCTGAGGGCACGGTCGTGGGGGTGAGATCTGCCTTCCCCCTCACCCAGCCCGGCTGGGAGCCATCCTGCTGAGCACAGCACGGCTCAGCCTGCTCCCACCCATCTGCCTTCAAAGGGAACAAGGGCTCAGCCAAGATGGGCTGGTTACAGATGACAAGGCTGGAGCTGAGCTGCTTACAGACATGGCTGTCCCACTTTCTGCAGCGGCACCTCTGACATCCACATTATTCACACCATCCCCCTGGTTTCAGGTGTTCTGTTAACTTCTCCCATCCTTTGCTGCAGAGCATTTCCCTGTGCTCCTTGCACCTACCTCCCAGCCCAGCACCTTCTGCTCAGGCCCTCCTGACATGGTCTTTAAGCCCCCAGGGCAGCCAGCTGCAGCTGCTGTGCTCACCCCTGCCTCATCTCCAGGCACAGACTCTCTCTGTTTGCCATGGGCGCATGGGGCCCTGCCCACACATACACAGGGATGCTAGAAGGATACCCTCTGAGGGGATGACCAGCTGCAGCCCCAGGGACCCCTGAATTTGTTCCCAGGCTCAGCCCAGCACATAGCATTCCCCAGGCAAAGGTCTACAGGAGCCTTCAGCCAGGGCTCATCCTAAAGCTTTCATAAGGAAAAGGCAGTGCAGTTTCCCAAATGGTTTTCCAAACAGCCAGGCAAACAAGAGTTTTTCCTGGCAGGGCTGACAGCACCTCCAGGCCTGTCTGCACAGCCCTGCTCCTCCTGCATCCCTGCAGGGCCCTGGCTTCTCTCCTCCTCAGATGCTGGCTGGCTCTCACATAACACCAGTCCCTGTTCTCCCTTCTCCCTCCTCTAGCTGCTCTGGGTTTTTATGATCTAGGATTATCTGTAAAAAGAAAAATAAAATCACCTGGTGAAGCTGAAGCTCTAAAAAGAAAAATCACCTGGTGAAGCTGAAGCAGAGCTCAGATACCAATTATTGCAAAGGGAAAGCTTGCACCTCTCTCCAGACACCATTCCGGGGCAGGTAGTGCCACCGACTTCTCCTAATGCGGCCCAGACATCCTCCGCAGCTCCTGATCCTCAGTGCTGACCCCATGCGCTCCGGGGAAGGGAGCAGCGGCCGGGCTGTACCCCCCTCAGACCCCTTTTCCAGCAGCGGGACCCTCGGCTCGGCTGTGCCCGGCTCCAATTGCAGCTGCTCCGGCAGTGCTGGGCCGGGACTGCCGTCCTCCCTCTGCGGGCTGAGCCGCTTCCCGGCCTGCGGGCAGGCAGCCCGCACTCCAGGAGCCAGCCCAGCGCTGGGAAGCCCGTGGCCTGGAGCGACAAGCACCGCGACAGCGGGAAGTTCCCTGCCGCCTGGAAAGGGGACACCGAGCATGTGCCCGTGAGCCAAGGCGCCGGCACGGCTTTCCTAGAGGTGCTGAGGGAAGCAGCGGGGCTGTGGGGCTCTCCAGCAGGCGGCCTCGCCTTCCCCTGGCAGGGACGAGAAGGTGCGCCAAGGGAAAAGGGTTCTGCCCCCGCACTGAGGGCAGGGCCGGGGGCCGGGAGCGCCCTTCCTCGCCTCTGCCCTCTGCTCCCTCCCCAGGGTGGATGCTGTGCCGTGAGCCCCTGGAGCCTCCTTCCCTCGCCCTCCGGAGAGGCGGGCGGTGGTCGAGCCCCGCTCCGGGCAGCTCCCCGGGCTCCATAGGAGGATCTCCACCGGCTGAGTTCTCCCCGAACCACTGTGGGGTGCTTCCCCAGAGGAATGGTGGGGAGGATACCGGGTCACTGCCTCAAGCCGTCTGCTCCTCAGGAGCCCTGACTCCCTACAAACTCCATCCTTGTGCATCTCCAGGCTATTCCCTGGCTCCTCTCAGGCGATCCAGCACAGGGGGTGGGGGGTGCATCGCCCCCGGTCCTTCGGCCCCAATCGCCCTTTTCTGCAGCTCCTCCCCAGACAGAGCCTGTCCCCCGCCCCGGCAAAGCCCCTTCCCGCTCTGGGGAGCCCTCAGCCTGGGTGACTGCCGCCTCCCTGGGGAGGTGGTGGGCGCTCGCCCGGCGCGGGGCGCCCATCGCGGCGGGGCCGCACTCACCTGCGGAGGGAGCGGAGCGGAGCTGCTGCCTTTGTGTGGCGGCCGCGTGCGGACCCCGCGCGGCGCACAGCGGCCCCTGACGTCGGGCTCGGCTGGCAGCAAAAAGGTGGGTTTTTAGCCCAAAACTTTCCGCAAGCTCCTCCTCTGCCCCCCGGCCGGCACAAAGGCAGGGCGGCGGAGGGGCGGCCCGGGGCAGGCTGGCCCCTGGGCCGGTGGGGCGGGGGCAGCGCGGGCGGCCTCCTCCGGGCGCTGAGCTGGGACGGGGAGCGCCAGGTCCCGCGGGGCACGGCCCCTGTCCCTTGTCCCCTCTGGTCTTCCTGCTGTGCTCTCCAACCCGTACCTGCGGTGCGGTACCGGGGAAGCTGTGCGCGTTCAGCTGGCCATGCACCCCAACATCAACGAGTGGCCCAGGGGTGCACAGCTGAACAGCGTCTCCCTGGGGGCTGCTGCTCGGAGTTCCCATGGAAGCTGACCCGAGGGCACCCCCGGGCCTCGGTGGAGTAAAGGGAACCACCCTTTACTGTGTCTTCACCAGCTCCGTGGATGCCTCCTTCTCCATCAAGGCCACTGGCATCAATGCACAGACCTTTCATGATCTCTGCCCCTCATGAGAAGTTGCCAGGAAAGGGGTACTTGCTCAGCACCCAGAGCAGCACATCACTTACATGCTGTCCCAAGCGTCTCCCCAGTTCCATCCCTTGTGACCGCCTGCCCGTCCCCAGCTCAGCCATGCTGCAGCCCTTCTCCTTGGAACGAGCAGTGCTATCTGACTGCTGGTGGGGGATGAAAAGGACCTTGCAGATGTGACTGCTCCTTTCCCCCATCCACCACCTTTTCTTGGGAAGTGAGCAAGCAGCAGCAAAGCCAATTCCTTTTTGGAGTTAGCAGCCAGAAAAGAGTGTCATGCAAAAAAAAAAAAAAAATGGGGCTCTGGTAGGGAATAGAGCCATTTCTCTGCCTCTTATTCTGGAAGAAATTTGCTGAGAGCAGGGCTGCCACAGGTGGGGTTACAGGGCAGAGCTGTTTTTTATGAGCTGCTTTGAAACCAGGAATCACTTTTCAAGAGATTGCCACATTTAATTGCCAGTCTGCCAGCAGTTTCCTAAACATCTGCAGAGGTTTTGAGGAGAACTGCTAAATGTGGGAACATGTCGTCTTCCCTTCCTGCTGCACACAGAGCAACAGGTACTGCTCTGTGTGGTGAGAGATCTGGAGATGCCAGGCTGTATGTTTGAGCCCAGGGTGCAGAAATGGATCGTGATAGCTGGGCAGGTATCAAAGCCAGTAACCTCCCCCCACTCTTGGGCCTTTAAACTCAAGCTGAAAAAAGCTGCTGAGACAAACTTCAATGTAAAAAAGAAGGACCTAGGTGTACATCAGGTTTGCATGTCTGAATCACGATACTGTGACGAGCAAACCAGGGCCTATAGAACTGTTAAAGAACTAGGTGTGGAGCAAGCACTGCTTCTTCTCCAGCTATTTCTGGGCAGGAGCTGAAGATCTTGCTGGAGTCCCCAGGGCACAGCAGCATAAGGTACAGTGAAGCCCTGTGTGAATTTTCACTTGTTCCAGGGGACCAGGAGACAAGTGCTAGCTGTGTGAGAGAGCAGAGATGCATTAGTGTACATCACTCTCAGCAGTGTCTGTGCTTGGTCCCTTTGGGCTCTTTCTGAGGGACATGGGGGAAATGGCTCCTTCCCCAGCTCAAATCAGCAGCAAAAGGCTGTGACTGCAGAAAGAGGCCTCATACTGAGGAAAGGAGGAAAAAAGAGGGAGTGTGACCACCCCAGGTGCATTTCCCTGCAATTGATTAACTTGAGCTTTTTACCTCTTAAAGTGTCACAATCTCATTCATGGCATGTCAGCTCTGCATTTTCCATCTCTGGTCAAAGCCTGGTCCTTGGGGAGCTGGTAGTGGATGTTGCTGCAGTGTCAGTGCAGGGACACAGCCATGCATGGGAGAGGAATGACCTTTTCCTTGTTGAGGTGTGTGCCAGGTAATCATTAACAGGGCCAGCTGCTGTCACCCCAGCCCTGCTTAGCTGGGGCTGGGCTTGCACTGCTTCCCCAGCCTGCACACATGTGCCTGCTGCCTACGCCCCAGGTGTGCTTCCATCCCACAGGAGGGCAGACAGACCTCGGAACCTGCAGCACCTGACTGAAAAGGAGAAAGAGAGGATGTTGACACCCTTTGGAGAGAAGGGCAGGACTGCCCCAAAGGTACACTGCCCCTCTTCCAGCACTCCTCAGCAGAGTGATCACATAGTGGGACTGCTTTTCTTCCCTACTGTATATTTGACACTGGGGCGGCTGCAAGACTCCAATTGCCATGGTTACTGCCAGCCTCCCTGCTGAGGTGTGGGCCAAGCGCCAGCAGGCTGGGGTCTGGGCACTGAAGCAGAGTGGGCCCCCTCCTCCCAGTTGCATGTACACCTGGTCCCTGGGGAGGCCAGGACAATTTGGTGTGCCTTACACCTGCTATAGATCCTCACTGATAGCTCTGGGCAGGAGCTGAAGTTTGAAGACCATGAAAGAGAGGCACAGTGGGGGTAGAAGGGACAATGCAGGCAGGGAAGGAGGCTGCTTCTCCAGGTAGAGAGGGGCTGGCAGGAGCACTAGGCAGGCTTCCAAACTGCCCCTAGAAATACGAGTTTGAGGTATGAGCATAGCTCCTCATCACCCACTGGCTCCATCACCAGCATGCCATTGACCACTGCAATTACCTCCTTTTTCAAAGAAAACTCCACAGGATAGAAGTGTGTTGGCCACAGTCGTCCTTATGAGTCTGAGGCTGGAAGCAAAAGTGTCCCTAATACTTTTTGTAATCAGAAGGCAGTCCTTCCACCAGAGTGGCAGAGATAATCCCTGCTCTCAGTGCTCAGCACTGGAGGCAGAAGCCCAAGACTCCCTGCTGGAGCTGGAAATGAATAGGAAGAGCCTCCGGCAGGCTCATCTCCCACAGAGCTGCATGGCTGGGGACAGCTCACCACAAAAAAAGGCCAACAAACATTTTGAAACTGGAGGCTGGACACTGCTGTAGTATCCACTGACAGCTGTGGCAGCTGCTGGGGCTGCTGCCTTTGCCCCAAGGAGGAATAGCAGGCTGCTGACTCACTCTTCCAAGGCCTTCTGGATCACTTGGGAAGGCAGTGCACTTTCTCCCTTTCCCACATTACACTGAGCATTGATGTATGACGCAGAATGAGGAGAAGGTCCCTCAGGACAAAGACCCTGTATCTAGCAACAGTATCAGAAGGACGCTGTGCTAAGAAGTGAACGAGGGCCAACAGGGAACTCCCAAAAGTACCCCCAAGTTTGGACAGGGGCAGAGGCCTTGGGATCCAACCTTGTTTGTGCCATGCAGGGCATCTGCTGTGCACTGCCTGCTGCAAGGAGACAGGAACTAAAACATCAATCTCTTTATTTCAATGGCAAGAAACAACAACATCCAAACAATCAAAGTTGAAAAGCAATGGGAACACAGGCTCGTGCCAGGCCCTGGGCCGGCTGGAGCCAGCACCCTCACATAGTTACAAAAATACAATCCTACAACAGTGTCTAAGAAACACAGACCCAGGTATTGCACAGAACCCCTGCCCTCAGGGGGCAGGGTAACCAACACCCCCTCCTTCTTCACCAAAATATAAGCAGGCTTGGAATTGCACAGCAACTCAGCTCACAGGTGCATGGAGGGGCCAGGCAGGGAAGGGGACAGTGTGTCTCTCAACTACCTGTACAAAACCTATAAGGGAGAAAGGGGAAAGCTGAGGCTTTAAATGCCTCTGGGCCAAGTTGGGCATCCCATCTGGGGCAGCAGTGGTGTGGACCTCTGAGAAGATGACAGTGCCTTGTCTATCAGTGGCCTGCCAGCAGTGCCAATGAGAACTCCAGGCACTTCTGGAGTGTCCCAGCTGTCAATGCATTAGTACACTATCATTATTATTTGCCAATACTGACACTGGCCCCTGGGCACCCTGCACTGCCCTGTGTGCCTCTGTTCCCCAGTACAGCATCACCCATCATTCAAGGAAACCCTGCCCCTGGGCAAAAAGTCTGAAGGGTATTCTGGTTCCCTACAATATCCTCATACCCTTTTCTTGGTAGTAGGAGGGATTCAAACAGTGCCACCCAGCACTACCCAGTGGGCACAGCTGTGTGTGAGTGCAGAGGGACTGCACAGACCACACACGGCAGCAGCAGTATCCTCTCCTAGAGCCAAGATGTGAACAGCAACCCCCTTCACAACCACTGCCCATCTAAAAATGCCAAGCAGGTCTGCCAGGCTCAGAGCCATCAACTTTCCTCCTCTGTGGGCACTTCCTGGTCTTGGAGACTCAGTTCTGCAAAAGCCTTGCTTAAGGCCTGGCTTGATGTCTTGGCATTAAGTGCTCACAGCATCAACAGGGGAGATGGATTGTGGTGCCTCATGCCCACTGCAGGCAGTTGGTGAAACTCCATCCCACTGCAGGCATGACTCAGGGCTACGAGCTCCAATGGTTCCTGGGAATCCAAATCTCTCTTTCTACTAAAACTGGAGGGTGAGTTCATGGTCTGCCCAGGTGGGTTGTGTCTCAGCTGGGTGAGCTCCCTGCAACACCCTGCACCCAGTTTGGGGAGTAGCAGGAGTCAGCCTAAGAGGATGCATGTTGCCAGGTTGGGGGGCAGGAGGGGATCCCTGAGAGCAGCACTGACCCCAGCACTGCCCGTCCAGCCCCGTGCAAAGTCTAGCATTGAGGGGGAAACTGAAGCAAGGAGGGCAGCTGAATCGAACTCAGCATTTGGGAAATACAACAGGCATCACTGCTGCCACTGCCACCAGCTGAGTGCAGCTCTCCACCATCCTGCAGGGCTCACAAAGAGATGCTCAGTAGAGTGGGTGTGCAAACTGTTCCACCCAGCCCCGTGGAGAGAAGTGTGGTGGGAGAGTTTGGTAGCCTTCCTCCATGCCATCCCAGCCCTGAGTCAGACTGCTAACTAAGCACTAAAGGCCCATCAGGAGAGCACCTGCTGCCCTACTTCCAGCTGCACCAGACCCAGGTGCTCTGAGCAAAGGCTGGATGCACAAGTGACTTCCCTCCTGCTGCAGAAAGCTCTGGGTAGGGCAACACAGAGACCTGGTGCAGCCCCAGGAGGAAGGAGAAGGCAGTGCCAGTAAGCTGTGGTGCTTCCTTTGGGGCAGAGTGCAGCTCACAGCCTCTGCAGTCTGTCCATGCAGCCTGTGCCTCCCACAGCTGTGCCAGACAGGAGAGGAGGAACAGGACACAAACCTAGCCAAGCACCTAAAAGAGGGGCACTGCCAGCAGAGAGAGGGGCTGAGCAATGATATCCCATAAGGATTATAGGTAGGAGCCTGTGGAGGGGGCACTGGCATTACTCCCATGAACAAGGGTGACTGGGGGCTTCAGCCTGGCCTGCTCCAACATGGCTGGGGGATAGAGCCCATCTAGGGCAGGGAATGTGGTGAAATACAGGTGAAGGGGTGGACACACAAAGAATCAGGCTTCAAGTCTGAAATATCCATTGTCCTCATAAACAGAGTTCCAGCCCAGCCTGGGGCAGAGCTCTTCTGTATCCATCTCCAGGGACCAGGCTGGCATCTGGGGAGGGTTGGGCCAGATACAGCTCTGCCAGTTGGCATTGTACTCTTCTCATCCTGCATGAGCTGGCTCGGGCTAAGGCACGCCAAGCACTACACAGCTGTCTCCTGGTCCTCCCGCTGGATCATCTGGTAGTGCTGTAGGTTCTCGAGGTAGGCAGCTAAGTCAGGGTCATTGGCTTTCTCAGCACGGTGCTTCGGGGTGTCTCCCTGCGCAGGGGAGGTGAGAAGTAGAGCGTCAAACCCTGCCTAAAGGCTGCTTTGGCACCCAAGGACATCCCCAATCCCCCATGTGGCTGGGTCCAGCAGAGCCTGCAGCCAAACCCCAAGTCAGGCAGCAGCCAAATGCCCATGTGCTTACCCTGGGATCAAAGTGTGCACCTGGGGAGCCTGACTACTGCAGGCCTGGGAGCTGTCCCCTGAAGGGCCATCAGCTCCAGGCATAGGCTAGGGCATGACTGATCCTGAGCAACACAAGTCACCCAAGAAGAGACAAAGGCTGGTCCTCCTGACCTGCTCTTCCCCTGTGTTGGGGAGGCAGGCGGGAAAGGGTGAGGAATGAGGGGTATGTCTGGGGAATGCCCAAGCATACCAACCCCCCTTCCCTCTCACAGCCTGGCTAGCGCTCCAGCTCCCGAAGGAGGATCACATTTCACCAGCTTATTGCAGCCATCTGGATTGTGTCCACTAATGAACTCCCGCACTCCATAAAAAGCAAATCTGTTAACAGCTCCCAGCTCTGTCTTCTCTCCCCTTTCCCTCCCCCTGCTCCTTGCTCCACCTCTCCAAGTGCCCAGGCTCTGCTGTACCACTGAGAAAGGCCACAGAAACCTGGCGCTCTGCTGCTGCCATTGAAAACCAGCCCTGGAAGGGATACCCGTCCTGCCCAGCTCATCTCCTCGTGCACAGCAGGGCACAGGCAGCTGCAGCAGTGTGCTGGGGCCTCCAGAGCAGCCCCAGCTATATTTCTCCATCAAGAACAATGGTCAGTCATGCAGAGTCCTCCGCTGGGCCTGATGTGGCTGTGCACAAAAGCCCATCCATATGTGGCTGCAGAGAGGTATCGTGCAGCAAGAAATCTCCTTGGCATGTGCACCCCAAGACTGCGTGGGCACACCCCATGGTCCTGCACACAACCCCCCGCAGCCACACCATCAGGGGGTGGAGACCATGTTGTGCTTTGGTGCTGGCTCTCCTTGATGGCCTCCTCCCCACATCCCCTGAATGCAATCACTCATTTAACAGAGGAGAAATTAAGCTTCTTTCCTGTTCCCCTGCAGAAGCCCCTCTCATCACTGCCTGCCTGCAGCCTGAAACCAGAGCTGCCAGGGCCTCCCTGCCCTGCTGGGCTGAGGCACTCCAACTGATAAGGCTCAGCCTCCCTCACCACTGCAGGGAGCGGGATCAGTCTGCTCCAAACCCGTGCTACAGGTCTGCTGCTGGGGTTTCTAATGAGGTGGATCCTGCCTGTGCAGGCAGGCTGTGACCCGGAGCCCCTGAGAGGTCAGTGCAGCAGCACAGCGGGGTCCCCAGGCAGCCACAAACCCGACATGCGACATGCTTTTGCACAGGCACGTGCAAACCCACTCCCTGGGGCAGCCGCATGCATGCCTGAGCAAGGCTCCCTTTGGTCCTGGCAGGCTGGGGGCTGTTCCTCTCCTTCAGTCAAATGAGGGGGCTGGGGACAGAGAGGGGCCATGCACCCCAAACTGCCCTCTCCTCTTGCCTCTGCCAGCTGGGTCTCCATTTAGGCCAGCCCCACTCTAGGCACTGTGCAAGGCCTAAGCCTTAGACAGGACCAAGGAAGAGAGATGGGGAGCCAGAGATTATCTGTACTGCATTCTCCTGGCAGCTGGCAAAGAGGGATGTGCATTGTCTAAATTGCAGCCCAAGCTCCACCACCACCAGCACCCCTCAGCTGGGCTCCTAATGGGTAGCACCTTCTTGGCTTGTTGTACATCACCTCTGCTACAGCCTATCACTACAAGCCCCCACCAGAGATATCTGACCACATCCTCTCTGCCATATGCCAGCCCTGGGAACCTCCTGTACCAAAACATGGCCCCAAGCCCTCCCCTTTTGCATCTCTTCTGCCAGGGCTGGCACAATTCCCTGACACTAAGGCACAGCTCAATTAACTCGGCATGTGAGAGAAAGTGCTGCCACTGCTTGCTCCTGCTCCCTGCAGGCCAGCTTCACCCGCCAAGAGGAGCTCCCAGATCCCCCATCAGGGCTGCCGGGGGTGGGGGAGAGCGGGGGAGTCCTGCAGCTGGGAGGGAGAATGTCCTTGCTCTGACCCCTGGGGGTGGGAAGGGGGAGACAGGGATGAGACATTCCAGCCCCTCGCTTCTAATTTAATAAAACAACAGGGGGAGAAGCGCCAGGAGAAGAGGGATTTAACCCCTCTGTAGCTGGGCTCTACTGGGCAAGCATGGGTACTCCATGTCAGCTCCTCTCTGATCGGCAAACACTTCACCCAAAGCACCCCTGCTCTGCTCTCCTGCTGGTTGTGCTCCTTGCCAGCCCTCTGGTCGCCCCAGAAAGCCCCACTGCCACCGTTGCCACTGTCACCTGCAGATCTGTCTTCATGAGCGAGGCCCCGGCCTCCACGATGTAGTGGCAGATAGTGCGCTGGCGTAAGGCTGCAGCCTGGTGCAAGCTGGTCTCACCGCTGAGGAGGAGAAAGCAGGAGATGTGAGATGTCCCCTTGAACAGGGACAATCAGCACATGCAGGTGGCAGCAAGGGACAGCAATTCAGCAGCAGCAGCAGCTGATGGTAAGTTGTGTGTTTGTCCAGGCAGAGGAGGGGTGCTACTCAGGGGCAGTCTGTCCAAAATGGACTGGGAATCATGGCTGTCAATTAGAACACGGGCAGCTGAAGTGCCCCCATAACTGGTCACTTCACAGAGAGTCTGGCCAACAGGTAATGCAAGTCAGGCAGCAACTTACTTCTCCTCCTCTGTGGCATCAAGGATTTCTGAAGGAGCTGTGGAAAGAAAGAGTGTGAGTGAGACCTAGCTCTGGGGCAGAGACAGACCTGCCTACTCCCTGGTCACAGTCTGCATCATTCCATAGGGGCTGCTATTTTCATGCTGCCTGCAAAAGTCCTAGCTCCAAAGAACTCAGGTCAGCAATGGCATCTGAGCCCAGGAAAGAAGTGGTTGTGGACTTACTACAGATAAATACCTAAATAAAAATAAAGCTGTCTGTATTTCAGTGGGAACTTCCAAAAACAACTGGTCAGCTGCATGATGGCAGAATCAAGACACTGAGAAGTGTTTCCCAGAGACATGCTGAGCCCTGCCAGGACACAGCAATAGCCATGAGGACACCCCAGTACTGGCAGACAGATGCCAGGAAAAGCCCATACACCAGAAGGATGATGTAGCAAACCCAGAGGGAAGGGATCTAAGCCCAGGAGCACTCCCTCTGAGCAGAAGGTTGATTTTTTTTGGCTGCCAGGCTCCTTTGCTAAGAGTGGCACTCCAACTCCAGCTCACCATTCTCGATGATGTATTTGACGATGTCCTTGCTTCCCGATTTGACAGCATGGTGGAGGACAGTCTGGCCCGAGGAATCTCGCACCATCAGGTCTCTTCCAGCTTGATGCAGCTCTTGGAACTACAGGATTGTCAGATTGCTCAGGATGAGTTACATTTCCCAGCTCCAAGCCCCAGAATTATGTGCGTGGAGTGTCTGACAGGTTGTGTAGATACTTGGTGCTGGTGGGAAGCTTTGTCCAGCTCAGCCATGTTACCAAGTCCCTTCCCTTCTCCTCCCTTCCCTTTGTGTCTCCCAGGAGATGAACCAGGGCTCCTTGCCAGAAGCCTGCCTGGTTTCTAGCCACCACTCCTGAAGGAAGGCCTTTGACAGGCACTGCTCCAGGGCAACTGGAGAGCATGGCTGGCAGGGCTTCCCTTAGCCCAAGGGGCACACCAGCCCAGGAGCCAGCCTCGGCTGCTCATTGCAGCAGGCTGCTGGAGCACCTACCTTGCTGAAGTTGCCACTCTTGGCAGCTTCTATCAGAAGGTCATCTGCAAAGAGAGACGCGTCAGGGTCAGAACAGTCAATCTGGAACACTGCTTATCTAATCCTGGAGACAAGAGCTGGGCACCAGAGGTGTGGAGCAGGAGCACAAACTCCTCCAGGGATTAACCCCTCGGTCAGACTGCATTTACATGGCTTCTCTACCTTCAGGAATGCATGGAACAAGCCAGGGAAAGGAAAGAGGCACCATGTAGCTAGCAGTGCAGCCAGATCTCAGCTCCAGGGAGGTGCGGGGAGAGTAGTCTCTGCCCTTGGGCAGGATAACTTGTGATGAAAATGGGGAGCAGGTTTCCTGGGCATCAGCCAGCAGCCAAGATGCCTCTCACCAATGACTCACTCACACCTCCAGGCTCCAACCATGCTTCAGGAAACTCTTTCCATTTGTTCAGCTTGGTGAGGCCCCTGATCTCGTGCTCCCACCTCCCCAGGGAGAGGCAGAGACAGCCTCCCAATCCAGTCCACAACGCTCAGCTCTGCAGGTGGGAGATTAACCCCTTGCCACATCATTTCCGCATGTTGGAGCTGTGAAGGCGCCTGGCTGGGCCGCTCCACAAATCACTGTCAGGTCTCTTGTGCTCACCTCTGGGTCACCAGTCCTCATGGAACAACAGGGCTCCTCTCCCTGCTCACCAGGGAAAGGATAGGCCAAAAAAACCCATGGCAGGAAAACAAGAGTACAGCCCGAGAGGCAGGACTCCACTCACCTTTATGTGGGAGGCCGCGCTCAGGCTCAGCGCTGGAAGGGAAGAAGAGAAAATGCAACTGAGCCTGCCAGTCCTGGCAGCAGATGGCCCTAATGGGCATGCCACCATTAGAGGGATGGAGAAACCTGCCTGTGGCACTCCCTCTTCCCTGATCTGGGTTCTTCCCCATCCCCACTCTCATTTCTACTGCTGCTTCTGGCACCATTGCTCCATACTTGTCACTGGCCTTAGTTTGGCTGAGAGACACCCTTGTCCTCTGTCCCAAGGGTGAGGTGCTGGAGCTTGACCCCACTGCTGAGCCACCTGGTGGTGATGCCCCATTACTTAGGGCAGCACTGGCAGAGGAACAAGGAAAACAGGACTGCATCTCATCCCTTGATCTTACTCAACACTGAATTCCTGCTTACTTCCAGGGAAGTAAGCCTTGTAATCTGGCCCAGGGATCAATGCTGTGAAGCCCATTCTTCCTGAGGCCCTGTACTCCCATTTCAGACTCACCTGGGGGCAGGAGAGGAGGGTGGAGAGGAAGAACAGGAAGGAAATGCAAAATGGTGCCCAGGGGGTGTGGCAGATGAATCCACGAGGTCAGGCATGGCAGGAGAAGTGCTCACAGTCTGAGTGACCACTAGCTCTGGGTCCAGCACATAGAGCTCATCCTGAGAGATCTCTGTCACATAGTTGAGGTGTTCCTGAAAGACACGAGTCAGGACATGCTTCCTCAGAAGCAAGACCTACTTCTGCAAAACTACATCCCCTCATATCCCAGTGGGTAGGTTTGTGGCCCACCCATTTGCACAGCAGAGCAATGATGGCTTGAACAGTCTTATGCCTGGGAGCCTTTGGATTTCCTTGTTCTTTTCAGGCTTCCTATCTCCTGATGCCTTAGCAACCTTATCTCCACGTCCCCCTCCCTGATCACTAGGGGAAGTATCTAATACTGGTGAAGATGATCCCAGCTGGCAGGTCCTCCGGCCAGTCTTGCTATGTTTGCTATTCCTTACCTGCTGCACTGGAGGGCCCTGCAGGCAGCTTTCAACCCAAGGTTCTGTGCTACCACCCAGGCTTCTTCCCTTTTCTCCAGAAACCTGGAGGTGCTGAGCGTGGTCCTGGGCCAGGCTCACCATGCCATCCTTCTGGGGGATGCCAAAGGCCAGGGCAGTGGTATGAGACCCGTGTGGCCCTAAGGCTATGCCTGCCTGTTGGTCTGTGTGCAGCTGGGACACCCAAGCACCTTCCCAGGGGATGATGGTGCAGGATGAGGCTGCACTCACCTGTGCACGGTCTATCCTGTAGAACCGATCGGCCGTGGTTGCTGTAAGACAGGAACAGAACGAGACAGGCTGATCCTTGGTGCGAGACAAGGGAGACGGCCTATTCCCACCATCAGTGACAGTGAGCTATCCAGCCACTTCATGGCTTGCTCAGAGGGTACAGCAAAACAAACAGCAGCCCCTACCACGAGCAAACCACTTCCCTTCATGGATCTGCTGGTGTCTTCACCCTAGAGGCAGCCCCTTAGGCCTACAGACCACCATGTCCCCGTGAAACACGCCTCTGCTACCTCCTCCTCAGTGACTCCCGTCAGGGAGCCACAGGTAAGGCAGGAACACAACTAGCTGATGCCATGGCCTTTCTGGGGGCTTTCAGGTGCTCCAGCATTATCCTGAGCAGACGAAACTCAGGGCTATGCAGTGCATATCTCAGCATTCACTTATACAGGTGAGGAACTGCTGTGATTAACATGGTGCACCTCATTGAACAGTGCTCAGCAATGGGGGCACTACAGGAGGCTGGGAGAAGAGAGGGCTCATCCTCCTGACAACTTGACTAAAGACCTTCATGAGGCCACTCAGAGCATGAGACTGCCAGGCACAACAGAACATGCCACCACCAGCTGTAGGTCCAAGTCCCGGTCTCCTAGGATGGCAGGAGAGCTTCAAATCAGCCTCCAGCCTGTCTGAGTGCATCCCTCTTCCTTGGAGAACAGATCACCACAGAGAGAGAGGAGCTCTAATAGAGCAAGTGGCTATGCCGGAACCAGACACACATGGTCACCATCCTCAGGGGAGCAGGGAGGGGTTATGGATTCAGGACATCAGACCAGGACAGGGTAAAAGCACACTGCCAAGACAGCTGGATTCCTATGCAGGGCAGCATTTCCCCAATATCCTGACAGGCTGCTGGTGCCAGTCCAGGAGAGGTAGCTGCAGTGGGATCCTCGCAGACCCAAGTAAGTCTCTCTGCAAACAGAGTGAGGATGTGCTAGAGCAGGTGAGAAGAGTGAAAGAGCCATGTTTATCCTGGATATTTGCATCCAGTGAACTACTGTTCAAGGTCTATAATTCAGCTACTTGAATGAACCTGTGCTGTGTCGAGTGAGACTCTAGCCTCTTTCCTGACACAATTTTCCTGAGCCCAGACCTGCTGCTGGGAAACTGGCAGAAGGGAAAGTGGCCCTGGTACAGCAATCCTGCTAGTGACACTGGGGAGCAGCACCACCATTCACAGGGCTAGAACCTTGAAGGGAGAAGTTGCACCCTCTCTGCCTAGCACGAGGCTTCCCAGGCCCACTTTGCAACCCATGGCTGTGCTCTGCTGTGGTCTACATGCTGCTTGCTGAGATATCAGAGAGATGAAATGCTACCAGTGGGCATTTCACTCAGCCAGATTCCAGAGAAGTTCTTGGTCAGAAAAGGAAAAGGGAGAAGAGAAAGTTACTTTCAGGCAGGGAAGAAGCAGCAGCTGGAGCCCAGCAGGGAGGCTGCTCTCCCATAGCACTGCTCTGCCCATGGAGCCCGGCTCCGGGCATGCTGGAGCAGGGGGCCCCCTGCCTGCACAACACAGCAGAGCATCCCCAGCAGTCCCGCAGTGACAAACACATGCCACCGAGCTGCCTTCAGCTCCAGGGTCAAGAGAACCACAGACTCCCCTTGCTCCACTGGACTCAAAGTTAAACTCCTGAGACTAAATAAAGGGAAAACTAATTCTTCAATCACCTGAAACAAACAAGTAAAGAAGGACAAGAATGTGAGCCAAACCCAGCAGTCATGCTAAGAATCATCTTTGTCTTGCTTTGGGGTGGGAGAGGCCATAGCCCACAGACCCATTTGCTGGGAGCAGGTTTGCACAGATTTCCCCCCCTTCCCCCCGCTGAGGTCAGGGTAGGAAGTTTTGGTGTGTTGTAACTTCTGCTCAGAGGCTGTGAACCCATCCTTCCTTGTACAAACTGGCTATGGAACCCCCAACCCTGGCAAGGCAACATCCACAGGACATCCATGTGAGGGGCATCTGAGGGGGTGCACTAATCCGTCAAAGGCCCCTCCAAGTGCCCCCATAGTCATTCCTGAGGCCTTGCACCACAGGACTACATGTAATGCAACAAATGTGGAAGAGACAATGGCAAACTCCCCACCTAACCCAGAGAATTGCTTGGATTTTCCTACATGGTCTGAGTGTATATTAACCCATCAGATTCTATTCTTTTCGAGGGGACCTTCACCACCAAGAAGACCAGCTGGAGAGGATCAATGGGGCATCACTGGGATCCATGGAGTGGTGATACTTTCCTTATTTTGTCCCCGTTACTCTCTTTCTGTTCCCCCACCTATTTTCTATTTCTCTCTCTCTCATATTTACAGTCAAATAAAACCCATACTATGTCACTGACATATGGTCTCTTTTTCACCTTAATTTGGGCAGGGGCATACCTTAGTAATTGGATCCTGACAGACACACACACTGAATCATGTTCAGCTGCCATCAACAAGCACCTCCAGGTCCTTTTCTGCTGGGCAGCTTTCCAGCCCCCACTTCTCCAGCCTGCAGCACTGCACGGGGTGGTTGTGACCCAAGCCAGGACATCTACTTTTTAGAACCTCATGCAATTTGCCTTGGCCCATGATGCAGCCTGTCCAGATCCCTCTGCAGTGCCTTCCTGCCCTCCCACAGATCAACATTCCCACCCAACTTGTCTGCAAGTGACTGAGGTGTGCTTGATTTCCTCATCCAAACTGATAAAGACAATAAACAGGACCAGGCCTGATACTGAACCCTGGGGATCACCACTGGTGACCGGCTACCAGCTGGATTTAACTCCAGGCACCACCACTCTCTGGGCCCGGCCATCCAGCTGGTTTTCTAGCCAGAGAACAGTGAACTCATGTGAGCCACGAGCAGCCAGATTTCCCAGGAGAATGCTGTGGGAAGCCGTGTCAAGCATTTTACTGAAGTTCAGGTGGACAACATCCACAGCTTTTCCCTCATCCACCGAGCAAGTCATCTCGACATAGGAAGAGATCAGCTTGGTCTCCTTCCTTGCCTGTCCCCTCTGAAGAGTTTATAGCCATCCATTGCAGCACCCCAGTTGTGTGACTTGTCCCGCCATGTCTCTCTGATGGCAAATATGTCATAGTTTTCTTGCTCTGCCATATCTTTTGGTTCTTCCTGTTTGTAGCCCATGCTGCATCGGTGTTGATGCACTTCAGTTGGGCTACTGATTCCTCCACTTTTTTGGGCATAGGAGCTGTAATTCCTATGCCCTAATTCCGAGGTACTTTTGTGGTTTCTAAGGCATCGATAACCCTTGGATGTTTGCAGCCATGTGGATCTCCATCCCCTAGCTCCACTGAGCTGGCATACCAAAGGACCATCCCAGCACATCATCAGACCCCGCTCCTAGTGGAGGGTGATACTCACAGTCCAGGAAGCACCACTTGGGTGACAACTTCTGGAATGACAGTGTCTTTGGCTTGGCTCCATCTCCCTCCTGCATAATAAAAGAGAGGATAAAGACGTAACTTATGCCCTCTGCATCTCTCTTCAGAGCATTGCTCCTGCTTTGGGAAGTCCCTGCAGACACAGAGGACCACAGGTACTTGGATGAAACTGAACACAGGCACAGCACACTGCAACAGAGAGCACCATGGGACAGACTGGAGCTGACTGTAGAGCAGTGTCACAAGATGAGCCCCTGAGACCAGCACAGTGGACAGGACAGATGGGCCCAGAGGACAGAGAGGCCATACACACCTGGAAGAGCAGGCGCTCTAAAGCAGAGGGCTGTGCAGGGAAATCCTGCAGAAAAGCAAGGTGTCCTGTTACAGCCTGTGTCTGGGCAGCCCCCCCAGTCCCTCTCTCATCCCCCTGGAGTTGCTTGATGTGCTGCCTTATCTGGCTTTACACACTGTCTGGCCAAGGTACCTGGTCCTTGTCTGGCTTTAAGATTGGAGCACAGAGCTTACCCAAGGAGTGAGAAGAGGTAAACCATGAGGTGACCAAGGAACACCAGCCACACTGCACAGTTTTAAAGGTGCAGGAGATTGCAGGGGCATCTGTCTACCACACTGACACAGCAGCAGAGCATTACCCTGTGAACCCAGGAGCTGCCAGCTATGTGCCTGCTTGTGTGTCCTCACCAGTGCCTGGGCACAAAGTGGGCAGGGGACATGCATACAGAGCAGGCACAGCAACAGGCAGATGCCAGTGTGCCAGCCCAGGCAAGCAGCTCTGCAACTCAGCTCTGAGGGATTCTACGCATACATACATGATGGGATTCCCACAGGCACAAGAGTCAGCTAACAGCAGATGGAGAAAGGTCCCTTCAGCCTTCTGTGCAGCAATCAGATTGAGCGGTGCACCATCAGAAGCCACACTATGAGCTTAGAAGGCATTGTTCACCAGGAGCAAGAGTAAAACAGTCTGTGTACAGCTCACAGACACTTGCTAGTACATTGGCAAGGACACAAAAATTAGTGCTTGCAAATGAGAAGAGTGGAGGGGTTATAAACCTAATCCAGGCACCTGGAGAAGGCAGAGCTGTGACAGGAAACACAGAGCCTGTGAAAGCTTGGAGGGTTGAATGGTTATAGGCCCCCACAGGATGTGTGCTGGCTTTTTATACTACCCTGTCGTTTTTCAGAGTCACTTTCTGGGCTTGGACAACAGTCAGAAGAGCAATGCTGAAAAAGAAGCTGCTAGACAGCAGGGAGCAACAATGCATCCAGCTTGGGACCCTGCCTCCATCACATGGTGAAGGCAAACCATGACCTCTAAGCGTGACCTAAAGCAAGAGTGTGTGTGGTGGTGTGTGCAGGTCAAGGTGGCTTAGAAATCCTTTCCCTGAGTCCCTTCACCCTCAGTATTCAGCTATGACCACTTTTTACACAGACTCACCTCCTGCAGCTTCTCAATCTGGGTCCGGCACAACTCCAGGTCACTGTCTCCTGGAACCACGATGATCCCCAGTGGCACAGCTGCAGGACAGGGCACAGGCTCAGCTCAGGGAGCAGCCCATGCCCCATTCCCAACACCTCACACAGTTCAGCTACAGGCTTTGCCAGACTTGGGGACTGCAGCTCCCACCCCCTGGTCACTCAGCTGGTCACTCACAGGCTTCCTTGAGCTTTTCCTTGTCGTAGTTCAGTGCCTCATAGTCGCGCATGCTGATTCGGCTCACCCGGATCCGCAGCCGCTCGGGCACTGGCTGCTGGCTGTGTGCAGAGAGCAAGGAAAAAGGAAGGTATCAGAAAATGACACCCTGCTTTCTCCTTATTCTCCCAATTCCTCCAAAACAGGCAAGAGTATTGTATAGACTGGGGTGGGGAGCTTGGCACCAGCAGCTTCTCCAGCATCAGGGTCTGGTTTTACTTCTGTGACTTGATCCCTTCCCAGACCCTACCCAACAAAAGACTGAAATGCCTCTGCCAGTCACAGGTCAGTCCCATCCCTTTCCCTGCCAACCATCCAACCTTGGACAGAAGGTGGCAGTTCAATCTGAGGAACCTACTCATTGAGCAGAGGCATGGAGTTACGCCGCTTGGTCTTCTGCACCATGTTGGCTTGGTTGCGCAGAGAGATGTGGATGCGGGAAGCTGCCAGCTTGCAGGGCTCTCCATCTACCTGCATGGGGATGGCCTTGGATGTGGTGAGAACCACCTGCCGGCACTGACAGAGCCGCTCTCCATGGCCACCGACTTGCAAGGCAGCCTGTGAAAGGATCCAGAGTGAGAGCAGAACATGGACTGAGACATGGATGAAGGAAACATTCATTGTCATCTGGATATTACAAGTTACAAGTTCTGAGGGTCTCAGGTATGATTTCAGTGAGAAGGGACTCACAGAGACCAGGGCATGACAGCACCTCACCTAAATCTTAGAGAGTAGACACTGTCACATAGGACCATGCACTCCCCTGGCTGCTATCTACAAGTGTCAACAGTACTGACTCACCAGTGATGTCATGGTGAAGCCGATAACTTCAATGCAACCATCATCATGGCGCTGGGGCTCGAAGTCATGGTGCTCCCCAGGGTTGCCCCAGGGCATGGTGCCTGCACAGTACCTGTGAAAGGACGAGAAGAAATGCCTGGACTGGCATCCCAAACCCAGGAGGGGATCTACAGCACAGGTGTGAAAAGCGTATGAAGACAGGTCCAGGGGGTGCTCACCTTGGGATGTTAAGGAAGACCAGGCACTGGGGCTTCAGGTCCTGAATCTTGGAGGTCAGGTCTGTCCCATCACACTAGAGACAACACAGGAGTGTTCAAGCTGCTGTAAGGGAGAGCCTGGTCCATCATACCCAGTTAGGAAGAAATGGCCTCCCTCCTCTGCTCCCTACAGTGAATGTTTTCCAAGTCAGGGGAAGCTGATGCTCCCAGGAAGCTCTCTGTTCACTCCCCAACCCTGACATACTCAGTGTGCCAAGGGACATTCCTCACACCTCCACAGCTCACCCCCTCCCTGGACCAGAGCACCCCAGCACACTCACAACCAGCCTGACATGCTTCGCCAAGTCTTTGGAGCTCCCGGTGAGGAAGTCGGAGAAGGCCGTCTGCCAAGGTAAGAGACAGAGTTAGTGCCCAGGTGCTCACCAGAATGGGCAGCCAGAAGCCTGCCACTGACCTGCAACTCAGCCTGCCACTGACCTGCCACAGACCTCAGCTGCTCAAACCTGCAAACCCCCTTTTCCTCCACTGTCAGAAGTCCTCTTCTCCTCCAAAACAACCTGATCCATTCCTCTTGCTATTTTGCATACCAAAAACCCTGAGGCAGCTTCAGTAACATGCTCTAGTATTCCCTTGCCAGCCCAGTCCTGACTTTAGGGAAGAGCTGACAAGATGAGTCTCCTCCAGTGAGAATCAAGTAACAAGAAACAAATTCAGTCTCAAGCTGTGATGAAGCACCACCCAACAGAGCTAAGTGACCCCATCTAGAGATTCCAGGAGGGACAGCATGGTCCCCTTTGGGTTTAACTGTGCAGACAGCAAAAGAGACACAAGCAGGACAGATGTGAGATGACACAGAGCAGCACTTGGCCTTTAGCACTGCTCAAATACCAGTCACCAGACACATGGCTAGAAAGTACACTGAGGATGGGGAGACAGAGGAACAAAGGTGATACTGAGAAGCAAAGCTCCAGAGGTGAGACATAGGAAGGTGGTGTAATTAGCCAGGAAGCTGTAACTGATCCAAGGTATATAATAAAAGACCAAAGTAGTGTGCAGACTATGGAAAGGCTTCCTTTTCCTCTGCAGGGGGAACAGTCTGCCTTCCCACAGCTCCAGGGAGGTCCTGCCTGGGTGACCACCCGTGAGCTTGAAATCAAGAACAATAGTGGCAGGAGATCAATACAGCAACTGTACTGCAGGGCACAGAGCAAGCTGTACTGCCAGCAGCCAGCCAAAGGGGAGCTGTGACTCCCAGTGCTGCAGCATTTCTCCAGCAACTTTCCAGCTTTGGGCTGGGGTGCTTAGCTTGGGTGCATGTGAAGATCCATGTAGCTTAAATGGGTGAGTTTAGAGCACAGGCAGAAGGCAGGTCCATGCTTGTGCTGCAGCTGACGTTAAGGCTGCTATGACTGCAGGCTCAGATATCCCCCACACACTCACCCCAGCATAGAACATTTTATTCCGAAACCGGCTGTTGAACTTCTCTGGGTTGGCCTCTAGGGAAAGGAGAAAAAAGTCCAGGTCACTGGCCTACACATGGAAATATTTCACTTGCCAGCTCTCCTCAGACACAGCTCTCCAGCCAGCCTCAGCCAGGGGTATGCCCCCAGCTTTTTTCCTGTGCAGACACCCCTCTTCCCCCTTTGCAGCTTGGACTTGGTCCTCATGTTTCACCTCCAGCTCTGTCCCTGAAGCAATTCTGTTGTTCACTTTCCTGAGGAACCCAAGAAACAAGAACAGACCCATCCCACAGACCCTGAACAAGTCCTGCCAGTGCTCTGTACCTCGGGATTCATGGAACTCCAGCGTCACCCGTGCGTCAAAGCCAAGGCTGAAGTAGTTATTAAAGACATCCAAAGGAAGCTGAAATGAAAAGGAGGAATAAGGATGAGGCTGCCAGCATGTGCCCATGGCACAGATGAGGTCAGGTTACAGCACAGCCATTACAGTGTTCATGAGGCTGAGGGACCCTGCTTGTCTTTTCCCTAGGAAAATACAGAGGTCGCCAGCCTGAGATGATGGATTAGTTCCTGGCTCCTAGGGATAAGGGAAACGGTCCAAGGGGACACACTCTGCTGTCTGAGGTTTCTGCAATCACCCATGTTTCTGTTAAAGAAAATAGTCTCACAGAAGACTGGGCTTATACCTGTTGCAAGTTGTGGTTAAAAACCTGTGGTAGGCATTTAGTTATGAACTCTACATACACTCTTGCTATGAGTGCTGTGGCTCAGAGGCGTGAACAGAATGGTGGAATTGGAGGAGTGGGAAACACCAACCCAAGAACATAGCCTCAAGTGCTGGGACTGCCCAAGCCAGTGGCAGAAGAGAGAATGCAGACGTCTAGCACAGGGAATAGACATGGAGAGGAGGTGTCCCACCTTGTCAGCAGCCGCCTCATCCTTTTCCTCAGGGTTTGTGTCAGGGTTTGGCTCCACACGGAGGTTCCAGCGATCGAGCTGTACTATGTTCCCATCTTCTACATGCGACAGGATCTTGGACAGAGGCTCATCTGTGTAACCCTGGTGAAGAGAAGGACTTGGGGAGTCTCATGCCTGCCTCCTAGGGAGACACCCCAGACAGCAGGCTTTGGTAAGGCATCTCAGAGTAAAAGATGTAGAAGAGATCAACTATACTTGAATGCACAACAAAATGGGACTTGGAATTTAAAACAATACATCTTAGTTCTAAAAACTTTCCAAAGTTTGAAAAGCAAATTGCTTTTGTATAATCTAATGCAAAACCATTCAAATGTCAGAAGAACAGCAACATCCAAATTGCGCTTATTTGTTGGTCTGTATTTACAGGAAATTGAAACATGAGCCCATGCAAATCTCCAACCATATGTCTGAAACAAGGATTGAAGCACTCAGCCCTGCTCTGCCAGCAGTGAGTTCTTGTGCCCATCACTTACCCCACCCCAGTTCAGTGTTCTGGCCAAGTCGTTCCCTGTCCCCAAAGGTAGGATGGCCACAGGAGGAGGTGGGTTGATGCGTAACTGGTCCAGAATGGAGAGTATCCAGCCCACCTGCTCAAGCAAGAGAATGCAAAGAAACCATTAGCTATCTCAGGGACCAGCAGGCAGAGATGACTTGGAGCACTAGTGATGGCAGAGGGGCAGAGATGGGGTCTCCTTAGCCACAGCTGAGGTTATTCACAGTCTTTAATGCTCTAATCAGGTGCTGCAGGAGATACCAGTAACCCCAGTCAGGACACTGGCCCTCAAAAGGGCTACAAATCCAGACATGTTAGACTAGCACTCCCTGGAACAGTGCACGAGGGCACATGCTACCAGCTGCACCATGGATGCAGCGTGCCCAGTTTGCCCTGTTCTGGATTACAACAAGGAGGGCTGCTGCCTGCACTGGAAAGGCCTGAGCAAAGGGGCACCACGGGATGGAGGGGCTGGAGACTCACCGTGCCATCTCCCCCGCACGCCAGGATCCGGAGGTTGTGGACTTTGCGGTACAGCTCCAGCCTGTGGGGAACAGGGAGGTTGAGGAGGGGAGACTTACTGAAGGTGTTACACAGCATTCACCCTCAGCATTCACAAAGCCACATCCATGTCTCCCTCTATGAGCTGGGGGAAGAGCTCTCGGGACGAATCCCAGGATACGGCTGGGGGAAGAGAAAGATGCTGCCCCCATCAGTACTCACGCCTCCTTGGGTCCACCCTGGCTGAGGTCGAAAACTTGCCGTGGGTTGAGATACCACATGAAGGATTGGATGATCTTGGCTCCCTATGGGGAGAAGAAAGACATCAGGTAATATCGAGTTCCCAGTGGACAGCAGAAGGAGGCATCTGGTCCTGCCTGGGGACAGGCTAAGACAACACCATTCTGGAGGGGACACAGGCAAAGCCTGGCCAAGGTAGGAACTGCTGGGCATCAAAATGGCATTGTGGCCTCTTGTGCAGCTGAAGCATCACCAAAACCAGGATGAGAGCTCAGCACTCAAATGGCAATGCTCTCACAGAGATATCTTCTTAGACATACCAGACAAGGCCATACCTGATTCCCACCGCTCTTGGGGTTCACAAACACCAGCAAGGGCTTCATGAGAGGAGCTGGCATGGGCTTGATGACAAAGGGTTTCCACCTCCCTTCCTGCAAGAGATACCATAGATCCTACAGAAAATGCAAACTGCCACCTCCAGCTGAGCCCTAACATCATGCAGGTCAGAAGCAGGAGGAAGAAAACATCCCAGCCACCCCATAAACTTTATATCTGGGATATACCTTGCCAGCAGGCATGCTCCCTCCAGTTCAACCTCCTTAACGTCAGTGCAGACCCAGAAAAGCCCACTTTTATTCTCAGCCGTGCTCCTCACTGTTCAGTCCCTCTGCCCTTCCAAGACAAGGTCATTCCCAGTCCCCTCATATCTTACCTCGGCCCCCTTTTTGCTGGATTTCCGCTTGAATGATGTCCTCTTCTTCTTCTTACTAGATTTCAGTGGATTCTAGAGAGAAAAGGAACAAAGACAAAAACTCTGTGAAGAGCCACTGGCCAAGTGGGAACTGTGAAAGAGCCCCAAGAGCTGAAGTGACTTACCTGGGGCCGCCGGACCCGCAGAATCCAGGTGGGAGGAACGACAACAGCAGCGTGAGCCCCTAGTGAGCAGGGCTCTTCAATGTGTTGCAGCATGAAACATGATACTTTGCTGTGATACTGGCCAAGGAGAAGACAGAGAGAAAACTCAGCTGCTCAGTTTGCTGGGCACAGCCACCATCTCCTCCTCTCAGGTTCCCCATGCCAATGCAGGGAGTGCTGGACGAAACCATGCAGGAGTTTTGTAATGGGAAGGCAATGAAGAGAAAGTTTCTCAAAGGAGCTTGCAAATATCATAGCACAGCCTCTCCCAGCAGGGGGAGCTGTAAAGGGCAGGCTGCGAGCAGCAGCTCGAGCAGTCCCAGCAGAAAGCAGAGGTCATTAGCGCAGAATCTACTGGTAAAGCATTCAAGGGGGGCTCTGCTCACCGCTTGTTTGCACCAGGAACAGCTGATGGCTACAATCTCTTTGCTGTGGAAGGCAAACTTCTGCTGAAAACCCTGTGGAAGAAAGGATAAGAGGCTTAGGGAATTCCCTGCAGTTTCCTACCATCCAACAGTAAGAGACATTAACAAAGACAGCATTCCTGCAGCTGGAGCCCTCCAGATCCTGTCAGACAGTCCCAACCATAACAACAGCACCAGAGAGGCCACTGTGCTCTGTAGGGGTGTCCTTTTATTGCTCAAGGAAAGCATGTCAGGAAGACAGTCTCTTTCAGGATTAGCTGGGCCCAAGGGAAGAACTACTCTATGTAGGAAGCACTTACATAGTGCTTTACTGAGAAAAGCAGGGCATGTGTCTTGGTTTTGCTGCCAGACAGGAATGGTGGGATGTCCCTTGTTCCCAACCCTGCCATGTCTCTGGTTTGACCTTAGGTTTCCTTCAGGCTGAGTAAAATGCCCAAGGTGCCCTCTCACCTTGCCACACTGCCGGCATTTCCCTTCCTGCCGCCTCCGGTGCACCCAGTGATGTCGGACAACAATGGGCTAAATGGAAAAGAAAAAAAGAAAATTGAAAAAAAAAAAAAAAGTGAAGGGCCCAGTGCATGAGGGAACACAGGAATAGGCAGAAGAAATGGATAAAGGCCAGCCAACCTCTGCTCTCACAGCAAAACCACTGCTCATAGGGACCAGCCCCTCACCCGCTGAGAGACGGCAAAGCCAAAGAATCAGGGGACAAGAGGCCAAATTAAGATGCTCCAAGAAAAGGGAATTAAAACCAGAAGAAATAGGAAGGAGGACAGGGAAACTGAAGACTGAGAATCACACAAAGCAGATCCAATGGAGACTGGGTAAGCAGTGGCACATTTCTGCCCCTTAACATCTCTGCCCAGATGCCCTTAGTGCCAGGTGAAAAACGTGCTGGTGGAAGGTGTGAAAATCCCTGGAGAGACACAGTTTGTGCCCACAGGAAGAAGATGGAAGTGCTTGCAGCTAAGCAGTGAACCTCCTCACTCCACATTCCTCGAGAAGAGTGGCAGCCCCAAAGCCCTCCACACCCACTTCCCCCTGCTCTTTCCCCAGGCCAATCCTGAGCCTGCTTCAGTCTCAGCGTGGGCAGCAAGGCTGCTTGCCAGCATCTCTGCTCTGCCTGCAGGCTCACAGTGGGTTCAGGGCTGGGACTTGCAGAAGTGATTGTGAGGGAGTCAGAAGTTTTGTAAGGAAGTACCACTTGTCCTAAATCCCATACTATTCTTCCAGCCCTGGACTGGGAAAGGCACTGCAGCAAGAGTAGCAAAAAGAGAAAGGGAGTGCAAGATCACAGGCTGGCATGACAGGGCCCAACATCCTGCTCCTGACAGCTTTTGGGATCATGATGATGAGAGGCAGAAACTGGCAGGAGGTTGGGGTGAGCTCCAGTGTTGCCTCCCCTGAGTGCAGCACACAGGAGGGAATGAAGAGTCTTGTTGCCTTTAGCAGGTATTAATCCAGTAGGAGCAGAAGGAGGGCTATCCCTTGAGCTCTGGGTTCAAGCAAGCACATCCTAGGGAAAGGGCTGACCCTAAGGGGATCCCTGGCACCACAAAGGCCAAAAGAGCACCTTTTTAGGGAAACAGGAAGGAAGAGGCCTTGGAGGAACTGAGAAGCATTAGAAAGACAGGATGGAGAAACAGAATTTGTGAGAAAAAAGAAAAAGCAAGAAACAGGAGGGAGGAAATTTGTAGAGGTTGGAGAGAAGAAAAATAAGAGATGAATTTGAGCAGAGGCAGCAAGCTGTTAGCAGAGCCCAAAAGGTAAGTGAAGCACAAATAAGGGAGCTGGACTAAGAGCAGTATGGGAAGGAGGCACAGAAAGAAAAACAAAGCAAGAAAGGAAGGTTTAAAGTGATGCTGGAAGCTTCCCTTTACGACATCATGCCGTCACTTCAAAGCAGGCAGCCCTGTGTTTGAATATCCTTCCCCAGCTAGGTCTGCTGTTCCAGTACAAACACAGTGTGCTGGAGGCAGCTCTGTTACCAAAATGGCCCAAGACTGAGCCACCCACACCCACTCCAGAGCACTGCACAGGCTACACTGGCTCCACAGGCTGGAGGGTGAAGCGTGAAGGCTGACAGCTGCTTCCACCAGTGCAGGTCAGCAGACAGGTTCCAGGCCACTGCTTATGCCCAGTACATTGCAACATGGGCTGAAGGAATCTGATACCACTACTGTGGGCAACTTCCACTGCCACCTGTGGCACCTAGGTCAGGGCTGAGTGATAAAGCCAGAAATGAGCCCATACTGCTTCCTTCCAAATTGCAGGAGACTTGGGGACCTGCTGTTTGCTACAGCCTCATCTATGTGCCTAAGAACCCAACACAAGGGCAAAGTCTCTCCCAAAAAACACTGTCTGTAGGTTCCTCCCATGCAGATTCAGACCATGCAAACCATTGGATGCTCTGCATCTGCTGCCAGCAAACTCCTCACTCTTCACACTCAGTCTGTGCTGCTGCCTTGCAAAGAAACATCCCTTTTATGGCACCACCCCCTTGGAGAAGGAAGGAACATGATGCCTCCACTTGGATGGGCAACAAGCAGGCAGCATCTGGTGTCTTCGCCACCAAACTGGAAATGGGAGATGAAAATGTGGGCAGTGTCTAAGGGACATCTCTCACCTCCCGTATGTTCCGGGATCCTGACTCCCTGAAGGAAGGCTTGCAGCGGAAATTTATCTGTAGGAAGAACACATGAGAGGAACCAGTAAAACCATCGTACCTGAAGGAAATCTACTGGAATTTACTGCACTACAGTAAGGTTCAGAACCTCTGGAGTTGTTTGGTACTTGCCACAAAACCCTCCCATGTCTCGGTTATTGACCAAAATGAGGCCTGGGGTCCCAATTATGTCACTAGATCGTCATTTCAGTACTGTCTCTCAGAAGACCCCTCTCTGCAATCACACACTGCAGTTCCCCAGTCTTCTTGTATTTCACTGCCCAAGAAAAGGCTGCTATAGTTTTGTGAGCTGCAGAGAGGGCTTAACAGGCTCTACTCACTTTCTCCAGCTGCTCGATGCAGGGCGTATGCACTACGATCTTGCAGGCTGCACACTTGCGTCTGGAGAGAGGTTTTTGCTGAAGGGGAGGAAAAGGGGAGAAAAAAATATATATGTGAATGAAAATATGCAGTGTTCAGAGCCTGGCAAGCTCAGCCTCCTACCATACCTCTTTCTTAAGTATTGGGATACAGAACAAGCCCTATTGAAAAGTTAGATACAACCTAGACTTCTTATCTAGTGAAGGGGTCTACGCATGTGCCTATAGCAGATTTCTCAAGCCTGGGACAGAGCAGGGAGGTACTTTCCCTACTGTCCTGTCCTGCAGTCCTTGTCTTTTTCTGACACTGTCTGAGAGCACCACGGAAGCTTGTCTGGGAGGCACCTGCAGGGTGCCATCAGTGGCAGGCACCTGCAGGATGGCAGGCAGAGGGTGGCATCAGTGCTCCATGTCCTGCACCACGAGCGGGACTGAGCTTGCATACTGGGAGGGAGGACTGCAGGGGCAGGAGACAATAGGCCTGGGTCATCAGAGCTCACTTTTCTCCTCTATTGAAAGGTCTTGGATTCAGATTGTCCTTCCAAGGGTGTGGTATACCAACACCCTCTCTCTGGAACCTTCCAGGCAAGTGGCAGCCCTGCATCAGGTTCCCACTGCAAACTGAGAACCAGCATTGGCAGAAACTGGGGACTAGGCCCTCCGGTATGCAGAGGCAGGAGGGACACAGTGCATGCCTCGGCAGCTCCCCAGACCCCTGCATGTCCCCCAGCAGCAGCAGCAGCAGCACAGCCTCTGTGGTCTCCCAATAAGGTGACAGCACAGCCGGGTTTGTGGCCATTGCTGCCGAGGCAGGTGGCCCCAGGCAACTCACCAGAAGCTTTGCCATGCAGTTCTGTTCCCCAACGTAGCAGAAGTCCCCAGAGACATTGGTCTCAAACCAGATGTGCTCCCCATAGACCGCAGCTTCCTGCAAGACACAAGACAACACAAGCTCTGAGAGCATCCCCAGAGAGGCACCGAGCCCCTAAAATGCTTTGTGCGAGGGACAAGATACTGGACAATGTTGGGGGTGGGAGGTTGGAGCGAGGTGGAGGCCAGGAGACAAGATGCATACAACAGCCAGGGACAACTGGAGAGAGGAAACCTCAGAAAGCTGCTGCCATGGCCCACCTGCTGTAAACAAGAGGGCTACAGGAAACCAACTCCAAGACCTACAAACCACTTGTAGTGTCCTGCACAGGGGAGCTGCTTTCATCACCCCGAGAGGAGGCATCAGGGCAAACTCAGTGCAGGGGACACTCCTGAACCAGCTTCTGCTCTACAACTTGAACATGCAGCTTAAAACCTGTGGGGCATTGCCTGTGAAGGAGCAAGGGCTTACTCCTTTTGCTTGGCCCCAACCAACAGATCTTGGCTATGAGAAGCAGAAAAGCTGGGAGTGGAGTAGTTATGCCATCCCTCCAGGAAATACTTGTGCTTCCACAGCCTCTCTCTTGCAGCATCAAGTAGTGCTGCCAGGAGCACAGATGCTGGCACCAGCTGGTGGCAATGGGAGAGGCCATAAATGTGTCAAAGTCAGTCACCTGGGAAGCCTCAACCCAGGGAAGAGCCTGCTGCTTCTTGGCCAAGAGCCCATTCCATGCAATGCCCAGCAAAACACAGTACAACTTACGCTCCAATCCACAGTGCTGCGTATCTGCCTCTCTGAGTCACTCCTCATGGCCAGGGCCGGGTTTGGCTGGGCTACCATGTGTTGGAGACTGGATTTGGCAATAGCTTTCCTGGAAGACAAAGGAGGGCTGGCTATTAAATATATACGCAAAGCACAACCTGCTTCTAAGATGAAATGTGAGCCTGGAGCAGAAAAGCCTCCTCAGGACCAAGTGGCTGGAAATGAGGTGAATTTCCATCCCAGCTGGCTGAGAAGTACCTGTTTCTGTGAGATAGTCCTGTGGGCTGAAGAGGTACTGGCCATGTTGCTGACAGCTCAGCCAGACAGCCTGTACAAAAGGTACAGTCTGGGCCTGTTGGGTTAATGCTCTCAGCGGTAAGAGCTCCATTGGAAAATACCATGGGAGTGTCCACAGACCTGCAGTGGTGGCACGGCCTTTGCAGGGACAATCTAGAGCACCTGTCCAACAGTCTCCCTGCATCTCTCAGGCACCTCAGAGCCTGGGCTGTTTCCAGGGACCAGTACAACTGGCCACAATAAAAGCAGCTGTTTCTTTGGGCCTAGTGAGCTTCTCCCAGATGTGCTAGGGTGGAGGAAAGGAGCAGGAAATCCAGCCAACAGGAGAAAGTGTGCATCTCCAGCCAGTTATCAGGCCTACCACATTCCTCTGGTCCCAGCCTGGCAGGAGAGGACACCCACAAGCCCCAGAACTACACCAAGAGAATCAGCGGCAGCACTGGTCCGAGTGGAAGATGCTTCTGGTAAGTCAGCAGCACTGCAAGACACCAATGGCAGCCAGGGCCAATGGTGCTGAGCCTCTTCCCTCCTTCCCCACCAAACCCGGGTCTGCACTCCCCCTCTCCCCTCCCCAAGCCATTGCCTGCCTGCACGCCACCACCATACATACAGCAGGCGGGGGCTCCAGCCGTCCGGGGTGGTGTGGCAGGTGGGCTCCGGTCCCAAACCCTTGCCAAGGGTGGCAGAGGGGCACTTGGTTCCAGCCACTCGCGCACAGTGCTGGGCCAGCAGCCGTGGGTGGCCAGAGGGGAGCAGCCCAGGCTGACGGACCTCGCTGGAGCGCCGGCGCTGGCTGAGGCGGCGGTAGCGGCCCGGCAGGCCGTGGGCAGCGCGGCCGTGCAGGGCCTCGGTGGGCAGGCGGTGGGAGGAGGCGCGCCGCAGGCAGCGGGGGCCCCGCGACAGCAGCCCTGCCTGGAGCGGCCGCGGCTGGGGCAGCATGGCCAGCCACGTCTCCTCAGCACTATGCCCATGCTGGCCCTGCTCAGCTCCTGCTGCTGCACCACTGTCCTCTGGAGACTCCGATGTGGAGCTGTCAGTGCGGTGAGCCCTGTCCCCCTCCTCTCCCGTGGGAACGAGGCTGGCCAGGAGGACAGTGGGACCCAGCAGCTGGGCATCAATGGCTTGTGCCTGGCCTCCGCGCTTCTTCTGCACGGCAAACCTGGGGCTGAGGCAGGGCGGTGTGGTGCTGGAGCGCCGACGCGTGCCGGGACGCCGGACCAGGCCCAGGCAGGAGAGGGATGCCGCTGGCGTGCCTGAGCCGCGGCGGCACTGGGCCAGCGAGGTGGAGGGCAGCCCCACCTGGGAGCGACGCCTGGCCTTGCCCGTGGGCACAGCCACCACGCTGCCGCGCCGCTGCCCTTTCCGCCCAAAGTGCCGCCTAAAAAAGGTTTCCATTGCATCCGGACGGGGGCTGTTAACACAGAGACCAGGAATTTAGTAGGCTCCCCTACAAGTCCCAGGCCACACTGTGGCTGTCAGGGCAAGGGGACAGTGGGAAGCAAGGGATAGAGGGCTGAAGCAGGGAGTGGGAGACATGGCAATGCTACCTGAGGCGTGTGGTAGTGTTGCTCCCCACAGCTTTACTGCTCCACGAGTCTCACAGCTCAGCCCAGAGGGCTGCAATGGCAGGGCAGGTGGCACCACCTAGCCAGGACCCTCTGCACTCCCTGCACTCTACCAAGCAGAACCCCTGTGCACCCCAAGGTGCCGATCATCCCTGGCACCTCCAGTACCCCTACCACTCTCCTGATGCTGATCCATCTGGTTTCCACATAGGAACGATAGGTATCAGTCCCACCAAATTTGTAGTAAATTGAAATTAAGCCCTTGTGAGTCCTACAGAAGAAAATCAACCAGGCCAGTAAAACCAGGGCAGGAAAATTTGGTAGAAGAGGTCTGGGAGAGCTGGAAGCTAGGAGAGGCAGGAGCAGTGCAGAGGAGAGTTAGGAAGATCATCCCATCTGTCCTAAGTAAAACTTCCCTCTCATGGGAGAAAGAGCTTTATGGAAAGCTCATGCTTTCCCTGCCCAGCTCCCAAAGCTTGACAGGCTGCCTGGACATTGCAGCAGTCTATTGAAAGCCATGGGTGGAAGATGCTGCAACACTTCCAGTGGCAGTGGCTCAGCACACAAAGGCCTGAGTGGAAGGAGCTGAGTCTGGCTAGCTCCAGTGCTCCCCTCCTCCAGAGACAGTGCTTCATTTCCCACCCTCCAGCTGCCACCTCTCTTCAGCTGCTAGAGGATTTATTCAAGGCCAACTTTAAAAAATCCACCAAAACCCACAGTTTGGTAGAAGCAAACTTCTCTTCAATTGCTCCCAAGGCAGGGGACTCGATCATGGCAGCCTGCAAGCACACACAAGCCACCACCACCATCACCACTCTCAAGGATTTCCATGCTGTGCAAGGCATCTCCTCTACCCACCACGAGGGCATGAGCATGCTGCTCACCACGCAGACTGACATCTCCTCCCCTTCCTCTATCTTCCTCTCTTCCCATGCTCTTTTACATTCTTATGGGTCAGTAATATCAGGGAACCTTCAGGAGATCACTCTGGCCCAAAATTCCAATGACCCAAGGCCCACACAAACAGGTGAATTTATTAGAAGTTTCTTCCCTGTTTATTTGGGAAATGCATGTAAGATGGGACATAGGTTTTATCTTCTGGACAAAATGGAGTTTTTGATAGTACTTGTAGTACAAGCAGCCCATTGGGCTGTACCTCTTTTTAATAGATGAGTACAAAAGTGAGTTTGTACTTTTGGAGAAGACAAGGCTTGGTTTGGTCTCCTCCATCCTTGCAGACAAGGAAGCCAGCTCTTCAGTTGCTATAGGCTTATCACCATGCCTGCATTCAGTAATGTAGGGGAAGGAATGATGAGTGAGGAAGGGAGGGAGGGAGGCAGGAAGGAAAGAAGGAAGGCAATGGCCTCCAGAGTGCAGCATCAGGTCAGCTAAAGCCTGGCTGAACTGAAAGCAAAGCCAAAGCATCACCTCCTCAGAAGTATTTCTCAAGTCCTACCACTGCAAGCAATGCAGGCAGGTACTTGGTCACCAGAAGGTTCAATCCAGCCAAGGCCCATGCAGCTTTGCAGAGGGCATCAGCATTTTGCTGATAACCTTGCTTCCAGCCTGTTCCCAACACTGCAGTGCTCCATTCATGTACCCTCTCCATATTATCTGCAAGATGATGCACAGTAAACAGCACAGAATCAGAGAATGTCAACTTTCCCTGTACACTTGGAAGCCATTTCCTCTTGTTCTATCACTTGTTACCTGGGAGAAGAGACTGGCCCCACACCTTGCTACAACCTCCTCTCAGGCAGTTACAGAGTTCAGTAAGGTCTCCCAGGAGCCCCAGCTTCTTCAGCTGTTCCTCCTCAGACTTGTTCCATAGACCCTTCACCAGCTGCACTGTCCTCTGGATGTGCTCCAGCACCTCAGTGACAGGAGGAGGGCCCAAAACAGGACACAGCACTCGAGGTGTGGCCTCACCAGTGCTGAGTACAGGCAAACAGTCACTTTCCAGTCCTTCTGGCCACACTTACTGACAGGCCAGGATACTGCTGGCCTTCGCGGCCACTTGGCACACGCTGGATCATGTTCAGAGGGCTGCCAATGAGCATCATCACCAACAGGTATTAAAAACTGTCTGAACAAATAAAACATATTAAAAAACACAAGCAAGAACAAAGGATGTGGCACATTGCAGCAGACCCTTTTTGGCCAGCTTTAGCTCTTTGGGGGAGACATACTGACCAAAGGCACCTCAAATGAGCTGAATGGCTGTTTCCTCCTACCCCAGATATTCCACCAGCACAAAGCTGCTCACTGCTTACTGTGTTGCTGCTGTGGGCAGGAAGATCTCTTAACACAGCTTCCTTCCTTTTTGCACCAGTCTCGTGAGGAAATCTGCTACAACAACCTTGGTTTGACATTTAAGTTGGAGCACTAGCTGACTGCGGACCTTTTTATTTTCAGGGCTGTCTGCAAATGGCACAAGGAATCAAGCTCTGACCACCCGTGGTGAAGGTTATTACAAGATTGCCATCTGACAGCCCACGACAGCAGCATGTGGCAGCTCAGATATGCTGGGTGTACATATCCCCACCTCTTGCATCTCACTTCCAACCTGAGCTCCAAATGGTGTATTTCAGGTGTGAGAGCTGCTGCTGGTGGAGCAGATGGACAAACTGCTGGGGCTGCCCATGGTTCATATGCATTAGCAGAGCTGCATGCAGAGCAGCTAGGGAACCATGCAATAGGCAGAGAGGAGCCTGAAAAGAGCTAAGCCTTGGAAGCCCTGCTCCTAACACCAGCACATTTCTGGCATCTCCATTGTTTGTCACTGAAAAAAGATGGAGAGGAGCCAGCACCTGTGGCTGCTCTGTAGAGCACATTGCTTGGCTCAGTTAAGTAAGGAGGCTGGATCAAGGCAGCCTGGCATTTGCAGGGTGCAAAGTAAGGAAGTACTGCGGCACGTACTGGGATATCAACTCTACTTATGAGCAGATACACACTGTCATTTCAGTCTCTTCTGTGAATAAGGAAGGAGACAGCAGCTCTGGTCTGCTCATGATCTGCAATCAGAGCTCTTGAAAGGTGGGGTGTTTTCTACTACCAGACTCCTCAAAGCATCCTACACACCCTGCCTGGCCTCAGTGCAGAGATGCTGCTGAAGCAGGAACATGTCCCACCAAGATCTAAGCACCCTTGGAAAGCACAGCAGGGATCGAAGAGGAAAAACTTGCATCTTGTAACTGCAGTGGACATAGAGCTTGTGAATAGCTCTTATGGAGACATCTCTCCAGATATCCAGCAGCTATCCCTCATTTGGTGATGGTGGTTCCAAAACCAGACAGGCTGACTCTTAAGGGCTAAACATGCAGTGTCCCCATGACATAATCTTTGCCCACATCACAAACAGAATCTGGATATTCAGCTCCACTATTCTGCTTTGCTTCACAAGCCTTGAGCAAACTCCCATGTACTATACTTAAGAGGCTCTCTGTGATAGGCAGAGGGATCCTGTGCCATACACCCTCTTGGCCCTTCCTCCACATTATTATTCCCTTTGTCCCTCCAGCAGCCTGGTCTATTCCTGCCAGTGCCCAGAAGCAAGAGAGATCTCAGGTTACCTTCATACAGCGACAAATCTGGCACCCCTCTCCTGGCACCAAAGGAGGCAAGAGGACCCTATTGCAGGATGTTGCTGGTACTAAATGCACAAGCCTTGAGCCACAGAGAAGTCTGGACATAATAACACCATCAGCTCCTCTTGACCTTTCAGCAAACCTCCAGTTAGTCAACTGGAAAGCATTTTTTCCAACCACGGGACTACCAGGGAAACAAGTCCGGGAGCTTCGCCCTGTTCCATGACGAGTACCTGTCCTGATGGCAGCTGGCTGGGTTCCTGTGTCCTGGCTAGCTGTGGGTGCTGGGAGCTGCTGTGGCACTAGAGCTGGCAGAGTGTGAGCAGAATCCCACTTGAGTTTACAAGCTGTCTTCTCCTGGCAGAGACACTTGACTCATGCAGATCAGCCAACAGGAAAGCGTGTTATTAAAAGCCACTCCTGTGTGACAGCAAGATCTCCTGGGCTTCTGCCTCCCTGCCGCCTCCCTGCCTCCTCCCTGCCAGGGCACTGGAGGGACTGAGGGACCCAGAAGCCCATCCAGAGAGCTGCTGCTCATTCCCACCCTGCTGGCACACCGCTGGTTGCCTTCAGCCTCTGTTTCCATCACAAGCTTGCAATACCCACAATGCCCTTTCAGTGCTCTGATAGTCAATCTTCCCATGTGTGCTACTGTCCTTACACCACCCCTGCTGAGATCCTGTTCCCGCTGTCCCGTCCTGCTTCCCATGCATCATCACCGACCTCTCCTCTCCCTGGGGCTCCCCAGCCAGGCTTCTCTGACCTTACAAGAGCAACCTGCACAGATGAGGTCTGCTGAGGAAGGTGCCCCTGTGCCAGATGGGGAAGGGAAAATGCTGGTCAAGATGCAGTGCAGCCCTCAGGCTTTGGTTGCAGTGAGGTGTGCAGTAATCAGCAAGTTCTCATACTGTGCACTTTGCTTCTACTCAGAATTTCCATTCCAGCTGTCATCTCTCCTACCATCACACAAATAAAACAGAGTCAGGAGCTCCCCCACACTGAGTCCAGTATGAGCAAGGAGATGGGGCTCCCCCCAGCAGGGAGAGGAGGCTCCATCCAAGCCATGAGCCTTTCAAAGCACCGTGAGGAGTGAACCATGGGCTATACTCATCTATTTTAGGATTCATACATTTGACCTACTGCAACAAGTGCCACCACCTATATGGGCCACTTCCAGGCTTCTGAGCTGCAAGAGCATGGTATTCCCAGAACAAGGATAAGGACATCCTCAGTTGCACTGTCACCCTGCAGAGGAGGGGATTACTGCTGCAACTGTAAGGTTGCTCCTCCAAGCTGCAGAAGCCAGTTTCTGATCCTAGCAGGGTACTCAAAGATTTCAGCTCATCTCTCAGTGAGTCCTGGGCCTGATCAAGATGAATTCAGACCTCTCTGCTAGTGAGAAAGCAAGGCAAGTGCTTAGAAACCAGCTGGTGGTCAGATGCATGCAGCTGCAGAGGACTTCCTCCCAGCCCTGTGGTCCCTGAGGTCCCTGCACACGATGCATAGAGGTCCTGTCAGGGCTACTGGGCACGGGCATGAGAGCAAGGCACCTCTGGCACATCTAACATGTTTGACAACTTGCTCAGAAGACAGTCAGTGTCATTGGGCACTCTGGGTGGCCAGCCTGGAGGTCCCAGGACAGCATTGCTTCACAAGGGACAGGCAGCTACATCAGTGTAGGCTTTCTGTATCCATCTTGTACTGGGCTGAGCAAGAGTACAACTCACAGCCAGTCAGGAGCTGGGAACACCACAGGGAGGAGATACAACTTCTAAGATGCTTTCTTTGAGTGAGCAAGTTAGCGTGACAGATGCAACACCAAGGACCAGCAGCTGCCTTGGGGAACAACCGTAGCAAGGCAAAGAAATGAAACACCACAGTTTGGCAGTTTGTCACAGTAGGCTTCTCCAAGTGGCAGAGCCAGGTGGAAGGACACTGCCTAGCCATGCCTCAAACAAAGCAAGACAAAAGCCATCCCACCTTCATGCCTGGCCCGCCACAAGAAAATGCTCACAACTGGTTTTCTGAGAAGAACAGGGGCTGGGAGCAGAAGGGACTGAGACTTTTTATACACTTCCTAGCGTTTTCCCAACACCCTTCTCGTAGCAGCTCCATCCCACCTCACTCCCAGCTCTGCATGATGCCATGGTGCCATCTCCTTTTTTTCACCACCTTCTCAGGGCAAATGTGAGATCTGTTTTAAGGCACATCTGCCAGAGTAGCTCAGATCCTCCACAGAGACTTCATAAAGTGAAGAGTTTGCCAGCCCTAACATTCAGAGTAAAGTTCCCATTACAACAATGCGATTTCCTTCCCAAAATCCATGGAAGACAGTGTTTTATCTTAATTTAAACCAAAACCATCTCCTTGGAGCCTCCTGGGCTGACTCTGGGCATTTATATCCCTTGACAACTTTCCACCATCATAATGTTATGAAGTTTATATGCCACTACAGTAAATAATCTGCCTCCCGGCAATCAAGAAACCTGACAGCACTGATGTAAACAATCTGTTGCTGCATTTGGCAGAGGAGCCGAACAGCAAGACTGACAGCCTTGAGCCATGAATTAACCAGGGCTGAAACGCAGTGAGCCGCCACCGTCACTCATGCTGCTGGGGCCGAGGCTGAGCAGGGGCTGGGGGAGAGGCTGGCCACACAGTTTCTATTTTGGGCCCACCAGCAGCACTAGCGATGCAGGCTGGGAAGGAGTTGGAGAGTTTCTTCTCTCTCTCTGAGCTTCCTTTCCAGAGTGACATGCATGAAGCCAAGCAGCGGGGGCCTCAGCCAGGGTGTGCTGGCGGTTTAGGTACTCAGACCACGGTTGCTTTTGCAGATTGCCATTATCAGACCCAGTGGTGGTCCCCTCGTTCAGTACACACAGCTCTGTTCCTCACAAGGAGGGACGTACTATTTAAAGGGCGGCCAGTCCCAGAGCCCAGCTGTTGGATCCAAACTCCCAGGGCAGCCCCAGAGTTTTTCCCCAACACACAAGGACAAAATCCTGGCACAGAAATTACTACTGGCCACAGTGCTGGCCCAGGCAGGGCAAGCCTGGGCGTCTGCCCGGGGCAGCAGCCCCAGGGAAGAGATAAACCTTGTGTAACAACAAAGCTGCAGTGTGGCAGATACAGATACATGCAGTGATTCCCAGAGCTAGTAAGTCTCTGCATCTCCCAAAGTAAAGTCAGGAAAACCTCAGGCATTCCACAACATCTATTGATCATTGATCAGAAAGATGGGACACACATGCCTCCCTCCAGCCCACAGCAGGGATCAGGAAGGGTATCCCACTGCTCCTGGCATAAGCAGGGAATCACAGTGCCACCACCACGAGAGGATATGCCAGGAGTCCACAAATCTGTCCTGCTTTCCTAAACTACCCCAAAGCAAAGTGACTGAGGGTCCTGGCAAGGCACAGGCTAGCTCCCTGTCCTCTGCCACCTGCAGATTTCCTGCTGCTACCCCCATGCCACACGGACTGTCAGGATGAATGCAGCAGAACGGGTGGCTGGAAATACACCACTGGCAGGGCAACCCCACAGAAACAGCAGCCAGGCACCACTGAGTGCCACGGTGGTTTTGCAGACCCCTCTCCTGAGCTCTGGGGACTGCTGTGGATCGGCTTTGCTCCAGGCTCTGGCAGCAAACAGCGCTCGACAGAAGCAAAGTTCAGGGTCTTGGGGATGACTCTGGGGTCTGCTCCCCCTGCCCTTCACAGTGGTCTGGAACCAAATGCCATACCTACAAACTAAGGGCTGTCTCTCAACCCAGGTCCCCTCCCACCCCCCACCCAGCACAAACAAAAGCATCAAGCGTGAGGGAGAGGGACGAGCAGGACAAAGAAAGGGGAGACAGTGGGAAAAAGCCCCCGTGACCTGATCCGGAGCGGTGCAGGGGTCCTGCAGGTGCCGACTGGGTGGCAGTGGCTGTGCCGCAGCAGCGGGCCAGCCCTCCCCTACTAAGTCCTAGTTTGGAGAGAGTGCTTGGCTTCTCCCTCTGCTCCTCCCCACGCTGCTCTCGTTAAAATAGCCAACTGCACTTCCTCTCTGAGCAGCCCCGAGGCCGGCTCGCCCCCAGCTGCAGGCGCATGCACCACAGCGGGCCCGGAAAGAGAGGGGTCCCCACGGAGCCAGCTGCTCTCCAAACACTTCCCTGGCAGCGGCAGCAGGAGGACATGGGGAGAACGAGCCAAAGTGGCGATTCTCTCCTGCCTCCTTGGAACTTGGATAAAGAGGTCTGCACGGCTGATGAGAGTCAGGCTGCCAGCCTCACAGAGCCTGTCTTCTTGCACAGGAGGTAACTTGCTTCTGAGTTAGTCTTTGGTCCAGGCAGGCTCCACAGATGTCTCAGGAGCTTTGCATCTTCCCTCATCGTGAAAACCCTCCATGGGACCTCTCATAGCCAGGCTGGGGACTTCCCCGTCATGCTTCACCACTACCCGGGTTCCCCAGCTGCCTCTAGGGATCTGCTCACAGCCAAACACAACCCATCTCCCTTTTGGGGCCACAAAACCCGTCTCCTCTTTGGTCTTTGCAGAGAGGAAGGGAAGGTCTCGCCAAAGGCCAGTCACTCTACGATGCCGTCACCAGCTATTGTTATTTCGCTCGTTTACCCAGGCGATGAGAGCCCATACACAGGCCGCAGTGAGTGAGTCAGTGCGGGAGGCTGCAGCTGAGATCTCGTCCTCTCACACCCTGCCCCCTCCTGCCTGCCCCTTCCCCTCGCCTACATGTCATAGCTAAAATTAGACAGCTCTTCTCCTCTGTGTGTAGGAATGTGTGTGTGTTTGGACGGCGCCCAGTGCTCCTTGGGGCCTGGAGCGGGACTACAGTAACACAATCATAACAAAATGTCACAGAGGCTGCAGCCAGTGTGGCAAAGGCAGCCAGCTGCCTTCCCCGATGGGTGTCTTGAGAGCTGTTCATAGAGGGTAGCCAGGCCCAAAGGCTGAGCTACCACCATTGCTGTCATCTGCATCAGGGCAGAAGGAGCAAGTGGCCTTTGTGAATCAGTGGGAGAAAGGGGCGGGGAGGACACATGAGCGAATCCGTCCATTGCCAGAGCTGCTGAGGATTTCATTCAGCCCTTTTCTCACAACACCAGAGAGGAAAGGGCGCTGGAGATACCCAGCGCACCTGGGTCAGTCCTCTCTGCCCTCAAAACTGCTAGCTGATGAAGGATGGAAGGTTCTGCCTCCTTCCCCACACAGGGTATCTACACATCCTTCAGAATTCCCTTCCCACTGCCAGGAAAGAGCCAGCTGCCACTAGTGATCAAGCCAGGTCCCAGCACCATTACAGTTATGCTGCCAGGTGCAGAAAGGCCTCTAGGAACAGGCCCCAGTCCATCACTGTTACAACTCACTTACTGGGACTGGCAGGATGTTTGATCAAAGAGAAAATTTAAAATGTGTGGCAACTAGTCAATCATTCAGAGCAAAGTGGCCCGATAAGAGATATGTGCAGTTCCTCGCCAGCCCCACCTCCAGCCAAGGCACCTTAGCACAGAATCACAGAATGATTTGGATTGGAAGAGACGTTAAAGGGCATCTCGTTGCAAACCCACTATCATAGTCAGGAACACCTTCCACTAGACCAGGTTACTCAGAGCCCCATCCAACCTGGCCTTGAACACTTCCAGGGAGGGTTCAAGCTTCCAGCTTGTCTCCAACTGCCCCATGCCCACCCTGCTCTTCCTGTCCCCTATCATCTATGCATAGCAGAGACTCCTGCTGATACCACTCGCTACTTCTCACAGTCACTACAATCCTATCTCCCTCCTGGGCTGGCAGGACCTAGACTGATAAATGGAAACAGCCATTTTTTTCCAATGGAAACGTCATGGAAGGGTGACCACCGTGGATTCCAGGTGGCCTCAAAATCCCTTCCAAGTCAATCTGACCACCAAGAGTCTAGGGCATTAATTCTCCAAGTCCCTGGAGGCAGCAGGAGCAGGAAGTCTAAGAGCCCTCTCCTCAAGTTCAGTCATGCTAACCTTGCTGCCATTCTCCTCCTACTCCCATGACTTAGTAAACCCTCAGCCTGTTAACATGCAGAATGGGCTGTGATGGAGACCAGCAGCTCCCAATGCTGCTGTCACAGGTTTCAGTCTGCTGTGTTCAAGCAGAAACCACTGCTCCAGGCCAAGAAGCTCCCCAGGCCCACGCAGCCCTGAGCAAGACTTTCCATGTGAGGAGATCCTGGTCCCACGCACCTGAAACCACATCACAAGTAGCAGCCCCTGCAGTAGTCTGCAAGGGGGAGAACTGCTCAGCATCCCTGAGAAACCCAGTCCCCAGTGATCTCTCTACACCACAAAGCCTGAGACAGGAAAGACACCTCCCAAGCCTTCATCATGACCCTGTGACTAAGCAAAGCACATGCTGGCATGCCACACAAGTGGTATTTGTTAACTGTGACCTTGTTACTGATATCATGTCTAACCTTTGGTTTCACTTTTTCACCTCATGGCAGCAAGTGACCGAGTCTTTTTCTCCCACACATCACATCAAAACTGAAGTAACTCCTTTTAACAATGTTAAATCTATTATTTCTTGGCTTTGCTGAATGTCAGCTTGTCCCACTGTAACAAATGGCAGGGCAGGAATAAAAGTTGGGTTTTTTTCTCCTCCACCCTTTTTGTTCTAAATGCCCTCAGCATATCTGGTCTTATGTGTTTCCATTTCTTCTTTCATCTTAACATCCCCACATCTGCCAGAATCACTGAAGGGCTTTTTTCACCCATCATCCTTCAGAGAGGGGAGGAAGCAATGCCCATGCAGAGAGCAGACCAGTGTCCCCTTTGTGGAATGGACTAGCACTTTAGCACAGACCAGTAACACAGGGCTGCCTTGCTCTGCTTCCCGAGTTTCTCGGCTCCTCCTCTCATGCCCACAGAGACGCTGGGTGCTCCAGAGACTTGCTGTGTGGGAGGAGTGACCCAAACTCCAGGTGCAGAAGCTGGGTGGTTGCCATTATAAGGCTCTTTGTGGTACCAGGACACGCAAGTCTTTGCAGAGGGGAGTTGGCTGACAGCTGCCTTGGCTGGAGGCTTGCCTCTGAGCATCAGCTAGCCCACAGCAGCAGCTGACCAGTTTAAGCCATCAAGCTCACCAGCCACTTCAACCACAACAGCATAAAAAAAGCTCTATGCAGATGCTTTGCCAATCTCTTTTTTGCAGAAGGGAGGAAAGCAAAACCAGGAGCGATGAGTCAAGGCCAGCAACCCTGCAGAAGGGACATGTAACAACACCCAGCTGAAGTCAGCTGCAGGGAAAGGGCTGGAGTTGCACAGCAGAAAAAAAAAAAGCTCCAAAGAGCGACCGTGCCCTCTGGTGTTCAACCTACAGCTCTTTGGACCTCTCCAAAACCCATTCACCTCCCCTCTGAAGAGCACTAACTGGCCACACGGCCTCTTGCTCCCAACACCTCCAACCACAGGACTCCCAAGCAGCCCTGGGACAAGATTTTTGTGTCTACAACATCAGACAAACAAGAGACTGAGTAGCAAACTCAGTAAGGCTCAGAATGTCATGCAGAGAAACTGTGTAGCAGAAGCCAGGAAGAGCAGTAAGGGTCTTCTACTGTGGCACTCAGCACTCACACAGGTGCAGCCAAATCCTGACCAGGCTGATGTGCCGCTCTACAAAGACCAAGGCATCGGGAGCCCAGGAATGGAACCTGGGGCTTGTCCCTACCTCCACATCTCCTCAGGGGCACTTGTGAGCGAGGTAATGGCTAGCCCCAACATCAAGGCTAGCCTAGGAGCTGGTTCCCACACAGCAACTACATCCCAGCAATGATGATTGTCTCCCAGGCCCTGTTTTTCCACCATTTCTGGCAGTCATAGCCTTACTGAATTTCAGACTGCTTCAGCTAAATTTTATTATTTATTATTATTTAATTTAGTCATTTAGCTAAACCACCCTCAGTGCTGTCACCTTAGGTCTTCCAAGCATTCAGCATGCACTGGGTCCAGGTGCTCATGCCCACACTGCACTAGGTGCCCATGCTCACACTGGCTAGGACATAGAGGAAGAAGAGCTCAACTGACCTTCAATCCAAACTCCAGCAAAACAGAAGCTGCCATGTTAGTTGATCAAAGTCCAGCAGCAAGCTGCTGTCTAGAACAAAGTTAGTGACACAGGCATGAGGCAAGCAGCCCGGCTTTTGGTGGCCTTGGTTAGTACAGACACAAGAGGGTGAAGTGGGGTGAAATGTGGGTGGGAGGGAGGAGAGCTTTTGAAAAGAAAAGTTGCAGCAGCTGCTGGGACTGCACAGCCTGTGCAAGCCAATAAAAATACCACATACTTATACACCGCTGGCCGGTGCTTTATCCTCCTGGATCCCCATCGGCTGGGCTGGCTGCCCTGGAGACAAGGGAAGACACCTTTGTGGGGCAGGTGGAGTCTAGGGACACAAAGAGAGTGGTCAGCAAGCCATGAACACGCCTGGCTGCTCAGCACACGGCACTATCCTTCCCCACCCCAGTTTTGCTGCCCCAGTGCCATCTCTCCACCACATGCTCTCCCCCCTGCCTTGGCACTTGCAGATCCCAGGGGCTCCAATGGCACCCAGGCCACCGCCCATGCTGTCAGCCATGGAGGTCAATGCAGGCAACTCGCCCATAAGCTGGAGTCAGCAACGCTGTTTTTCCCTAAAGAGCCAGCCAGCAAACATGAAGCACCACACTCCTGCGTCTGGGATACTAACCCAGCCCAGTTCAGACCCAGCCCACCTCCAGCCCAACCCAGGCAGCTGCAAGAGAGCACACAACTCAGGGACCAGTGCCAGGCTGGCACAGAGAGACAGCCCCGCTTCCCTTCATCCTTCCCTGTGCTGGCTTGGTTCCT